AAATCTCTTAATAATATGTGTTTTATATATTGCCTACCTTCAGCCCCGAATGCCTATCTCTTGCAGCTCCAGCTTGGTATAAAAAATGCATGAAAAATCAAAGAAAAGTTCCAAAACAATTCTTCCAGATGAATTTCTGAGAATATTCAGAAATCATTAAAAAAAAAATATCATTACGCTTCAGGAAATGTATAGAGACAGATCACTAACGAAAATTTTCTTTTATTATCTGTTCTTAATTCTTATTATGAGCATATAAAGCATCTTGAAAATGGGTCTCTTGAAAATGGGTCTCAGTCAGGAAAACAAGGACAAAAGCATTCTATCTTTCCCCAATAACTGAAAATAATGCATAATGATTATATGAATTGATAATAGAGGAGCTAATACTTAAAGGATATATTTGTAAAGAAATACCTTTGGGTTTGATTCAGTCTTCATAACCTGAGCTTGAAAAAGATCTAATGGATCTGTAGCTGTCCAATCTTGATATTTACCAGGAAAATCTACACTAGATTATCAACAAATGATAGAAAAACTGCAGTTAATACTCAAACCACTGAGGATTGGACATGCGTAGTATGCAAAGAGACCAAACAGCATGGCTTACAACATAAACTGTTGATTGATCATAAAATGAGTAGAACACAAGGCATTTGCTGCTTGCTACACCTCCAATAACTATAAGATTATACCGTAAACTAGATATGAATGTTCATGCCAAACAACTCCAGTGATTTAATCATCACATCACTGGTGCACTATCTTTTCCTTCCTTGACCAGACAGAACATTATAATAAAAAATAAAAAAAATCTTGCTTTCCAAGCCTTTCATTGTGAGTTTCTACAGTATTCATTAACATTGCATCTAATGCAACTTTCAACTTGAAGGAAAAGGAATGACGAAAGCAGTACCAACAGACCATAACACATTTCAAAAGAATATATATAAGTGATCATTTATTTCCTTGGAAAATTGATAGGAAGAGGACCTGAATACATGCCCAATAACTGATGTCACTTTAAAACGTGCAGACGATCCAAGAAACTTCCCCTCAAATTCATGAACTTCTGTGCTTCCCTTTCTTGTAAACATCTGTACACATAAATGTGCTTCAAAAAGTCACTGATACTGTCAAAAATAATATGCAAAAAATTGTAACATTCTAAATCAAAAAATTAAATAATAATAAAGAAAAGAAATACCACACAACAATTGGACAGCTTCATTGCATTTTTTGGCTCACAGTTTTATTTCCATTTTTTATTTTAAGTCACTAAATCAAAAATATCAAACTAAATTCCTAACAAAATGCATGAGTCTGTTGTTTCCCCCATTTTTTTCACGAAGACGAAACATTAAACAGAGGAAACAGAGATTTTTCAAATTAGAAGGTTTGAATATGAAATGATAAAGGAGAAAGTAGGAGAGGAAGGAGAGGAGCACCTGGCCGCGGGAGAGAACAGAGGCAATAGAAAGAGCAATGCTAGGCTTCTCTGCAACCTGAAATGAGATGAAAGAAACCAAAGGTAAGTAAGTAACAAAGCTCACAAAAACAACATATCTCATAAATATAATAAACAAGAGATTCAAGAGTTGATTTGTCATTTGTCACCATTAGAACTTTGGGAGGGGCCATATTTCTTTTCTGCTTCTTCTTCTGCTATGTACTTGTTTCCTTATTTTGCGAAGCGGGTGCTACCTGTTTGTGAAAAGTACCCACTGACTCACCCAAAGGAAGTGAAGAATTAAAGATAGTGTGAGAGGATGTAGAAACTCGGTGAGTCTATTTTCATTATGGGCCGCTAAGTGGCTCTAACTGGATCGAGTAATCATGGTTCTATTCCATATCATAACATTAACTTGAGACGAGTTTCAATCTATGTTGAAATATTTACTAGGACAATCCGAAATTCTAATACTTTCCGATATTTTAAAATGTTCTAAAATTTATAATATTTAAATTTTTATTATATATTATAAAAAAATTAATTGATATTTATCTAATAAAAATTAAAAATGTAAACTAAATAAAAAATTTCAATTTAAAAATTAATAGTCAATATTTACATCTTATGTCTTTACAAAATTGATAGATATTATAAGTTTAGTTTGATTTTTTTGGGGAAGGATATTGTGACAACCAAGTAGTGTTACTACCAAGTGACTACCAATCAATCTCGCCGTTAGATCGATTATGTTGATCCAACGGTTATATTTATTTTCAACTTTGTATGGTCATGATTCCCCATATTTAAAGTGAAAGCATTAAATATGGGAAATCATAACCATACAAAGGTGAAAATAAATATAAAGTATTAAATTTGGGGAATCATGACCATACAAAGATGGAAATAAATATAACCGTTGGATCAATATAATCGATCGAACGATAAGATTGATTGGTAGTCACTTGGTAGTAACACAACTTGGTTGTTACAATATCCTTCCCCTAAATATAATATACATTACATAAATTAAAAATATTATTTAATATCAAAATATATCCTAGAGTGTGAAAATATAACATTTTTTAGAATTAACATATCAAAGTATAGTGTCGTATCATGTCCTGTATTGGTGTCAGTACAACATAAGTCTCAACTCTTATATCAAATGGTGGTAGCTCAGTTAGCACATAAGAGTTGAGCAGGTGGGAAGAGAGTATGTGTTCGATCTTTTTCAATATCATTTTTGGGAGGAATTTGAAGCTTTAATATTGGATTTGTCCCGAATTAGACTAATCGCGAAGCGATTAACCGATTAGAATATTTCAAAAAAAAAATTGACTTATTTATTAGAATTAAGTTTAAACTTTTTGTATGTTCGGATAATGAATTAATTGAATATATACAGAGCTATTAATATTGGCAGCCTACCATCAACCCTAACCCAAATGAATTAGACTAAAAAAAGAGTTTCGGGTGCCAAAAAGTCCATAAAGACACAGGCTCATATGGGCTAAAAAGCCCATAAAATCCTGTGCGTTATGGCCAACTCACGGGCCTTCAGAAGCTGTAATATCAATTTTATTTAAAAAACAAAAAAAGAGAGAGAAAATTACAGCACAATTAATAAATATATAGTTCAGTTATATGTGAACAAACATGTGCTTATATAATGGGAGAAAAGATGAATGAAGACTTCCTTTTGAACTCTATAAGTTTCTTCACTTTCATAAATTGGATGATCTCTAATCACCGGTAGACTTCTGAACACACGATCTTTAGCTTCTTCTTTTTTGTAATCCCTCTTTAGCATACTACTTGACTTGGTTTTGTGACAACTTCGTCAAAGTCTCCCAATTTTTCTTTAGCTCTGTATTTGGTCTTATAAGGATCATATTTTGTGGGGGACATGGTTACAACGAGCAAGTTGTATTTTTATTTTTATTTTATTTTAAGTATTCTATCATGCAGCTGGCAGACAAGCAAAGGAAGGACAAATCAGTAATGTTTTTTCTTTATTTGAAAAATGGAACATATAAGAATAATGTTGTAAGAAACTTGATAGGTCATGCTATAGAGAAGCAAAGTTAGTGTGCTTGGGGACCAATAAAAATTTGGTGGGGCTGAGGTGAGAAAAAGAGAGAAAAAGTTGAAAAGAAAAGAGAGAGAAAGAAGAAGAAAAAAATTAATCCAAGTGTCAAGATTTTAGTGAAAGGACCATGGTGATTATAATAAAAATTTCCACTATAGAGAGATCGATTAATGTGTCAGTCTCTTTTCTCTTTTTTGATTTTTTTTTTTTTTAAACATGAGATCAACATGAATTTATGAGTGCAAGATGAAAACTTGATTCGAGCACCATGACAAATGCTATCCCCTTAAAAAATATGGAGAAAAAATATTAAGACATATTTTTTTCTTATTTAATTATTTTAAAGTTACATAATAATAATGTGTAAATATAACAAGATCCGTGCATCATATATCTTAACTCTTAACTCTTAACTCTTAACTGAACATATCTAATGTTGTTGAATACATTCACTTGCACATGTAACAATGCATTACGAAGAGATATATTATTAAGGGAAATAATACTCTTATGCTACATAAGAGTACATCATTTTCCTACACTAATTCGTTTTCCGTGCCAATTAATTTTTCTTTTCTTTTTTAATATAAAATATGGGACCCACATTTAACTTCTCTCTACTTTTTTTTATCTCCTACAATCCTACAACATAAGAAAACTTAAACCCTATTATTAATCAGAATAATGTCGGTGATGTTTATTCCGTGAGAGATTATAACATTGAGATTGAGTTCAGCTTTAAAGTTAGTGCAAGTTTGATTGTTTTTAAAATATTAATAATTTATCAATAATTTTTTTAATTATAAGTTAATTATAGTATAAATTGTTAATTGAAATATACACTTAGCATCGCTTATATCTACATTATATATGCCTGAGAATGATATTAACAATATCTTAAAAGTAAAAAGAGTGCATAATGAGAATGGCATAAAGAGATCAACCCCAACTACAATCATTTTTATAATTTAATGTTAAATATGCTGCAATTTTCATTCTTTCTCATATGGATATAGGATATAGGAAATCCTTCGAAAATTTTCATTTAAATATCATCATCAAAGGTGACCCCTACAGTTACACCCCCTAAATCTTTAAAATTCTAATTGAATACAAATGGATTTTTTTATCCAAAAATAATCTATTAACATCCTTTGAAATTTCAACGTAATACATCCCCTAAATCACAATTTTCCTAAACCAAAGATCCAAAGTGAGAAAAGTACGTTTCAAAGGGGGAAAAGAAAGGTGGGAACCTGCATCGACTTTTGTAACAGACAATATCTGTTAGGTACATCTGCGGACTGACAAATTCAAATAAGGGTTTGAAGCAAGAAAGAGACGAATTGGAGACAAACTCATTTCTGCTTACAAATAATAATAAGAACGAAAGAATACAATCATTTCTTCAAATTATATGAACAAATTAATACAAAATTACACAAAGTGCGCGATGATCTATATATTGCATCTGTCGTAACTAGAGAACCATGATGGTTCCGCTAGTTTTGCAAGCTCACCATCCTCTACATTATTCTTAAAGGGCTCAAACTGCTCATTTACACTGTGTGGCTGCTCCTTTGAGTCATCATCATAACTGGGCATGAACACATCATTATCATAAGTAGGTCGTACTGATTCCTTCCGCAAACGTGTTTCCGCAAGGAGCTCATTAAGCGTGCTAATCTCCTTCTCATGCTTCTTCTTCAACTTATCAATTTGTTTGTAGGCCTTTGCAGCTTCTTGCTCTGCATCCATAGCCCGTTTCTGCAAATTTCATGTTAAAGTTGAAAAATTCACCACTAGCAGGGAAAATTTATAATATGTTCATCAGCAGAGCTGCAAGCAAATAAAATTGACTTGCTGCTTATGGGGTGTGCCTTTTAGGAATAAACTTACGGAAGGATATTTTGCACAGACTTAATGATAGGAAAAGCATAAAAAACTAGGGAAACTCTTCAGAACTTCTATAACAATAACCAAATAAATTTTACTCAGTTGATAGCTGATAACATGAAACAGAGAAATACAATTGATTTGTTACTAACCTGCGCAGTAGTTACAGCTTCTTCAGCTTCTTTAAGCCGCAAAAGCAGTTCACCCGCAGCTTGCACTGCCTCGGCAGTATCCTTCAATTGGGCCTGAAGCCCTCTATTTTCATCCCTGAAGAATCGCCTTTCTTTTTCTCTTTCTGCTTTTAACGCTGAAATCTCTGCAGCAAGGGCATTTATGAACTTAGACTCTGCACCTTTTACTCCTGCTCTGGTAGCTGCTTTCTTGACATCCTCAATTCCATCCTGGATCTTTCGATGCCTTGCAAGCAAGTGGATATGTTTCTCTTCCAAATCTGCATACTGTTCTAAAAGTCGTGCATGTCCTTCTATAGCCATTTGCATGACTTCCTGAAGTTCCTCAGTACACTTCCTCTCAGCTTCTAATTCCCGCTTCCTCTTTTCGGCTAGCGACCTGTTAGCTTCAAGCTCGGCCCTCAGTTCTTCAGAGAGAGAAATCCACTTGCTTTCTGCCTCAGTCCATCTAATTCTTTCTTGTTCAAGTTTTACTTCCGCACTGTCCTTGGTTGAAGCTGGAATTTCACTTGTCTCATCCCTCTCCTCCGTTGACTCTGGAATAGCAGTGAGGTTTGCTGCCAAACTGGGTTCAGATGAGCATGTTAATTGCAATAACGGATATTGCTTCCTAGCTGATGTGGATGAAGAGTCAATATAAAATTGAAGCTGGCTTCTTAAACTTTGTATCTCTTCCATCAACACTTCCCTCTCCCCCAATTTATAGAAATTTTGATACTCTTCTAGTTCCTCTCGTACTCTTTTTAACTCTATCTCCATCTTCAAAACTTCGGGATGATTCTCGTTCTTCTCCTTTAAAAGCTGTTGAAGGTCGAATATTGTAAGCATGTATTATAGAATTCATAAATGGGAAACCTGAAAAGAACATATATACACCTTGTGCTCATGGGCAAGGGCAACCAGCTCTTCATTAGCGAACTCCTCTGTGGGTAAAACATCATCCATAAGGCTCTCAAGGCGAAGTATTTTATCTTCCCTTGTCTGTGCAATTATGGCATTGCATTCCCTCTCATGCTTGTACTGTTGCACCTACAAATTGCACGGGAAACAGTCACAAAAACAGACAAAAGAGAGCACTGAGATGGTAGTTGAGAAACAAATAGAGAAATTTACCAGGCGATTAAGCTGCATTATCTCATAAGTCTGCTTTGCACAGAACTCTTCAAGGGCCATTTCTCGCCTTATAGATCCTGCCAAAACCTTCTCTACTGCCTATAATACGAGAAAAAATTATTGATATAATGAATTCCAGTTATACTGAAAAATCCAACAGAATTCTTGTACTTACTTTCAGAACCTGCTTCTTTGGCTTATCACCAGACTCAGGGCAATCAACAGGTACCAACTGTAGGTTTGAGTTATTGTCAATCTCACTGACATCAAGTTGTGTCCTGCTTTTACAATTACTACAGGTGAACAGAACAGAATCTTCTGTGACATCATCATCAAGAAAAGTCTGCACGCCCACATCAACTTTGTCAACTGGAAAAATTAGTCTGGATTCTCTTGGTCGTAATGAAAACCTATATGAAGACTGCCTCAAAGTTGCGTTACGATGGTGACTATCAATAATTTCAAGACCATGGCGTATGCTTGCTGCTAAATTTTCTGTTTTAGTAAGGAAATTTGGAGCTGTCTGACTAGAAAAGGCAGTAGATGAGCCTTTCTTCTGATTGCCCCTTTTTATGCCCAAATCACTTTCAACAAGATCATTCCCAGAAGGAGACAGCCCTGACGATGTCCTCAGACTTTTCCTGCTGCTGCTGATTCTAGGAGAAACACTAGGAGTTGGGGATTCAAGGAGTGGGGATAAATCACACTGAACTACGCTTAGGCCAGCAGGAGAGACACAATCCATTTTGTCACTAGGAGAATCAATGGATGCATTTGGGGCTGAAAAACCAGCAAAATCTCCAATTTCAGATTCACTCGCAGGACAAGAGAAACTGCTTCGTACTATAGCACAGGATGATTCTTCATTCACGCATTTACTGCCAGAGCAACTGGGAGCATTTTTCTCCACACTAGGTTGAACCAAATCCTGATTATCAGTACTCATTTCTTTTACATTTTCTGTTACAATATTACAAATATTCGGCGCATCAGCATCGCAGAAAGCTACATCATGGTCCTCAACACCTTCCTCATCAATCTCCATCTCCTCATCACCGTCATCGTCAATACGGGATAATGGTGGCGGTCGATTGAAGCTAGACTGTAATAAATTCAAGCTTCTTCGGATCCAAGCTGTTGAATGACCCCCACTTGAGTCCATTGGATTGTAACCATTCGCTTTAACTCGATGCAGCTCATCCTGTTTATTTCTTACAATTTTGAGTTATTCAAAATGAATTTCATAGAATGGCAAAACAAAACATGAATGAGAAATGCGGAATAGAATATACCCTTAGTTGCCGTATCACTTCTCGCAACTGGTTCACGTCATCCTGCATAACTTCATTAACAACTGCCTTGTTCTTGATAGCTTTGGCACGTTGCGCAAATCTCAATGTACTGAAAGTTTCACTCCTACAACTGCAGTACCAAGTCATGTTAAAAAAAATCCGTAAAGAAGAAGGATCAAATGAAAAAACACCTCAAATGACCAATGGTTTATATACTACCTTTGTGCTGGTGAAATAGCACAAACCATTGCTAATTTTGCATTTCCTCCAAGTGACTCCTGCAATAAAAATGTCAACCGGGAATCTCTGTATGGTATATGCCGCTGCTTTCCAGTTTGAGAGACTTCCGCGAGAATATTTATCAAATTCCTGCAGTCCAATTTAGCCTCGGTAAGTACTAGCTCCCCAAAACAACCACATATATGCAACAATCTAGTTTTGTCATTTTTCCCCTTTTAATTCACATTTGTATTTTCCCTAGTTTCAAACAGCAGAAGAACATAAAGAAACTGTAACTTTCAGCTTTGAACTGTCCCTGTTAACATTTATCCTATTTCAGGGTACCATGTTACTTTTGCTGATTGTGGGACTCATTATGGTTAGAACTTTCCCTTAAAGCCTCAATATATTATATTCAAGATTCTCTTTTTTTTTTCTGTGTGTTTCTGGCTAAACTGTAATTAAAGCTTAATTCACCCTATCATTAGACATAATGTTTTTCATTTCCTATAAAATCATGATACCAAGTGGCGTGGCATTCAAAGCTTTAATCCACTAATTTTAAACATCTTTATATTCTGATATCAAGTCCATGTAATACACACAATCGTTAAAACATACCCAAGCTGTGAGAGTGATCTATTAATATTGCCAGCTTCCTTTAAACGCTCTCCTGCAGCACCCGTTAATTTTTGTCGTTCTGACCCAGCTAGATCAACAAGATTGATTCTACTTGTTTTAAATCTGCTCATACCATCTGCTGTGCTCTGCAAACATGAATTTACTTCAAAATCCCCTTTCAGATATATGTGCCAGGAATAATAAGGAAACATCATCTATTTAAAAACACAAAAATGAGTGAAATGCAAATGTTTATCAGCATTTTACTCATATTACTAAAAATTGTATTACTTGACAATCGCCGTGCCATGAGAGAATGGTGTATCACCTTGCATCGGGATTCAACAACACAAGTAAAAACAGTATGTGAGCGGGAACTCTCAGAATTTATACTGGTTGCACCTATTCTCCTGTTTGATAATCCCTGCATAATGAAAGGTAGATGACAGTAAAAAACATTAAAGAGAAAAGGGCACACAGTGACAATTATGAAACCATGATTTGTGGTGACCTTTATCGAGTCCAAATTGTATTAAGTCTATCTAATTGAAACAAAACAAGAACAAGCATTTCATATGAACTCCTACATAAATAAGCTTTGAGATTCCTCACTCTTTCAAAAACTTTACAAGAAAAATATGAAAATTAAATTTTAAACTTCAATGCATTCGTATAAACCGCATGACATGAAATCATTCAATTTTCTGGCTATCAATAAGTAACATGAATGCTTTCCATTGATATAGTCATGTTTCAGAGCATAAAAAATGGCCATCTACATAATAAACAGCTAAGACTAGTTCCACAGAGGCTCAAATCATATTGTCAGATATTGCACCTTCAGAGGATAGTCAAAGTTAGGTCATAAAAAGAAAGAAAACATTTGTATTAATACAATGCCTGTGAGACAGTAAGTATGATGAATCATACCTTTATTAAAAGCTGAGTTACATCCTTCATCGTAGACACAGGCTCCTCTGTAAGATTCTCTACATACACACCAGATTTGACATCTTCTCTAATCTGGATAAAATGCAAAAGATCAATTCCAGTATAAAGCAGTGAAACATGGGAAAAATAAATAAAACCTATGGTCTTTTAGATTTTACCTGTAGGTTTCTTTGATTCGGATCTAATAGATCCGTGATTTGCTCATTGTATATCTGCAAAATCAAATTTTGTGTCAAAAGGAGTAAAATGACAATGTTAAGCAAGTCAGGAATATGAAAAGAGAAATAATTCAGTGTCATTCAACCTCAAGAAAAGAACAGTGGCACTGATACTTGAGTTGTTTGTCAGAATGCTTAGTTTGCTCCTGTGCAGGGAATACAGCAGTAAACATCATGAAACACAGTGCATGCAATCTTCAAAGAATTTAGTGAGGAATATAATTAAATGTTTACTTCATTGATGCGTGCAAAGAGTCGCTGAAAAACACGGGGTGTAAGGCCTTGCTGATCATTTGTTGCATTCGCTTCGGACAAAGAATTGGCAGGACCCCACATTGTATAGGTCTTCCCACTCCCTGTCTGGTCAGTGTGAAAAACTATTATCAAATTCAACAGCACTAGAGCAGCAGCAACACAGCAAAATCAAAACGAAAAAAGGTTAATGGGAAGAAACCTGTCCATAAGCAAATACTGAACTGTTGAAACCAGACAAGCAATTCTCAACCAGAGGCACCCCAAGATGTTCGAAAATATCCAGCTGGAAAATTGGATCAGAAAGTAAATCAAAATCAAACACTACAAAATCAAGTAATTTCGTATAAGATAAACAATCAGTTTCACCAGAAATAGAAACCGTGCCTGAGTAGACTCCATGTCAGCAACAGAATCGAAGGTGAAAGTCTGGCCGTTAACTGATAACGAATCACCAGAAATCTTCTGAACTATAGGTTCCCCTTCGTCCTTGTCCTGGCACAGTGGCCTCATCCTCACAATAACCTAGAGAACAAACAATTAGCAACACGACGAAGGTCAACAAAAGTTCAAAACCCTAAATATAGATACCTTGACGCCTGAATCGGAAGTTCCGGGAAGTGAATTGTCGGTGCTGAGCTTGCGCTTGAGAGGGTTGGAAGAAGGAGGCCTTGGTGGTAAGGGACTCTTCAATTTTGCCGGCGATGGCGAAGGGATGGTAACATTGGGATCTGAGGGAGGATCGTTCTCCTTTGTAGATCTGTGTTTGCGAGAGGGCCTGGGTTTGGCAGAGCTAGGGCTTGACGAACAAGGAAGCTCGGCATCCTTCAGGGTTGGGTTTCTGGGAAGCATGAATGGCTTCATTTTGCCGATAAATTTAGAGAGAGAAAGAGATGAAGAGAGAGAAAGAAGGGAAGACAGAGAAGGAATGAGGAAGGGGAAGAGAGATAGAGAGAGGAGGTAGCCGTTGGGGGGTAGATGGGGGATTTGAACTGATTTGAGAGAGAAGAGAGCGAAATTGAACTTTTTTGAAATTTGTGTTGGATCTGGAGCGCCTGTTTGGGTTCGGATACTCCAAAGTCCGAATTGCGAGGGATCCAAAGGAATGGGCTCCTATTAAAATAATACAAATTTTTTTTTTTTGGTAAGAAAATAATACAACTTTTATACGTACTAGTTAGTCAACGCCCACCTTTTTTTATATATATATATATATATATATATATATATATATATATATATATATATATATATATTTAATGCGTGTTCAAGGTAACTGATTCAAATTATTGTAATTTTTATTAATTAATTTATGTATGTTATATAACCCCATTTAAAATTTGAAAAAACTCATTAAAAAAAATTAATGATAGTCAAAAATTGGAAATAGATGAAAAAAAATATAAGGCTTAAAAGTAATAAAAAAAAAGAGGTGCTTTTTAATGGATAATTCATATGTCAAACCAGTAGAGGAATTATAACTTTTTTGGTGGGGACGAAAATAAAAAATTTAATATTATAAACAAAAAAAAATACAATGAAATATGAACCTAATATAAAAATTTTGAAAGAATTTTATTACAATATTCAATGTCAGTTCACTTAAGTCTTGCTCTATTACATATTTTTATATTGTTAAACTCTTCTCTAACTGAATATGTACTAAAAACAATTTATTTCTTAATATATGTAATCCAATTTAGTAAGTTAAGTGATTTGGTTTTATCCTATTTAGAAAGTAATGCGATGATTATTTATTTTTTACAATTTAGGAAGTTAAGTGGTTTTCTTTTTTTTTTTTTTCTAATTTAGTATTAGATTTGATGATTGTAGGTAATTACCGTGCCTCCTTTCAAATAATATGTCTTATCACATTATCAACGTGTTTGGTACTTGAAAAATTTTAGTCTCCTGAAAAAGCATGCTTGGAGAAGTAAGAATCCCATGTTAGGAACTCCAAAATAAAAAAGTTTCCAGAATGAATATATTTCTCGGCAACGCTTTTTGTGTGCAAAATTTGGTACGGACAAGAGGTCAATAGTTCCATGGATTAATTGAAACTTTATGGTACCCAGAGAAGTGAAAAATAAGCACAAAAATATTGACGAAAGTAACCTTACTGGAACACGAGTTTGGCTTCTCTGTAACCTTACTGGAACACGAAAATAACATGTGACGGAAGCCAAATTTAAGAATGTGCAAAATAACCAAAAAATTGGGTCGAACATGAACCGAACCAAACCGCCCCATAAAATAACCGGTTTTTAAAAATCAGTTCATGAAGCGAACCGATTTTTAAAGAACTAGTTCATGAACCGAACCGGTTTTTAGAACCGGTTTAAGAACCAAACCGAATCATTTTCAAACCAAACCAAATTAATTTTTATAACTTTATTTTTTAAATTTTAATTTTTTTTTCTTTTCAAAAGAAAGTCGACCCGAACCGGTTTCGAACCTGTTCCGAACCGAACCACTTCTGAACCGAACCGAACCACTTTTGAACCGAACCATTTAAACTGCTTCGGTTCGATTTTTCAAAAAAACTGGTTCGGTTCGACCTACGCACATCCCTCGCAAAATTAGTTGTGACGGAATACTAAACCTGAATGATAACTGGAACACGAGTTTGGTTTCTCTGTCAACAAAGACCACGACAATTTTGCAAAACCACACCTTCGATTTCTGATGAATGCCTTATGAACCGCTTCAGGTGTACAAAGTATGTCTTTTTCAATGAACGAGAGTCGCAGCAAATCCAGATCCATTACTTCTTTGTCTTCGGTAAAGTTAAAAAATACAATATTTGAAACAAAAAAGGCAAAGTTAGGATTATTTTCGTAAAATAACGTCGTATTCCCACTAATATTTAATAATTAACCAAGCACATGTTCAGTAATTTAACCATAAAAATTTTAGGAAAAATTTATCCTACCAAACACTTTTAGTAACTGTTATGGGCCAGGAAAAGGCCCACGACAGCAAGAAGTCCAACCTACACAAGCCCAAAGGTAAGCTCTATAAATAGGAGCTAAATACCATAGGTATGGCTGATCTCTCTAACCCTATTTTCTTTCAAGCACGACATCGCGCACACACCCCCCTTCAGGCTAAGGCCATCATACTGTCTGTAGTGATTCGTTGTCCCCAAGATACCTAATCCATAATTACCTGGAGAGAAAGCTATAGATCCAACATCAAACAACCGACTTACGGTCGGACACCTCTTCCCACGGCAGAACATTGGCGCCGTCTGTGGGAAACACTTTTCCACTACTACGTGATCGGAAGCCACGATGGTGAGAACGACAAGAAGTGGATTTTGACAACCATCAAGATCAAATTCTAGGATCCAGCCTATTTCTCCAATCAGGGAGAATCCATCGGATCATCGGCAGATAGATACCGATGCAGTGCACGTGAGTGATATGCATTCTGATTCGGCATCAACTCCAGTCGTCAATCCAGACGCCCTATACGTGCAAGGGTTACAACCGATGGAGGAACAAACGGCGGATGCTGTGCAGGCACCAAACGGTGTAGTTGGTGATTATCGGGTAACAAATCTGGCTGTTGCCGCAGTACTTCAGAGAATGGAAGAGATGAAGAGAAGACACGGGCTTGAAAGGGAGGCAGATGCCATACAGATGCGAGAGCTGGAGGCTCGAGTAGGTCGAGCCGCCAACCCGAACCCGGAACGAGCCATAACACGGGTCATGAATGATCTGCGGATCACTAGCACCCAGGCGAACCTTGATAGGACCCGGGGTCGGGGGAGAGGAATTGGAAATATCGACAGCCGACCTCAAAGAAGCACACCCAATGTGGTTCATAATCAAGGACCCGAAGTTCGCAATGGCGGCATAGGACAATCGGGAAGGCTGGAAGAGAACCCCCAGTCTTCAGATTGGAGACGCCCATCCCGGAACCCAAACCTGAATGACGTATCTGGGGTCTACTGGAGGAAGTATCACAGGGGGCAGTACAATGGCAGCCCCTTCGTTGACGAGATCGTGGATGCACCATTTCTAGAGAACCTCAACTTGTCTGAAATTCCAAAATACGATGGAGCGCAAGACCCCCAAGTGCATTTGGATGCCTTTGATACGGCGATGTACATTAAGGGAATTGAAGAGACGTTGATAACCCGGTTATTTGCGACCGCGTTGATGGGAGAAACTCAATCATGGTTCTCATCTCTACCAGTGGGATCTATCAGATCGTTTGAAGAGTTCAGAGGTAGATTCTTGCTGAATTTTGCTACGAGGAAAAAACAGCCCAAGTCCGAATTCGCGCTAGGAAAAATAAAGCAGCAACCTGGTGAAACGCTGCAGAAGTATTTAGACCACTTCAAAATGGCCGCCTTACAAGTTCCCGGGTTGTCTAAGAATGTTCATTTACATTTGGTGATTGCCGGCCTCCACGGATCCTCCAGGTTAGCTAGATCCGTATGCAAAAACCCAGTCCGAACTCTAGTTGAGTTCACTGCATGGTCCGAAAAATATTTGAAGCTCGAGCAGATAGAGATTGAAAATGCAGACCCAAGGAAACACCACGGCCAGATGGAGAAACTCGAAAATCGAAGGCAAAGTGATTTATGGGGTAAAAGGCCAGAAAAGAAAGTTTTAACTAAAGTAAAATTTGATAGATATACACCTCTGAATTCATCCAGATCCCAAATCTGGAGAGAGGTAGCATCCACCGAAATAAAGAGGGTGGATAGGCCACGACCATTACTGAATCCAGCCAGCCTGGACCAATCTCGATATTGCACGTTCTATGATGGCCCTGGCCACACAATCAATGAATGCTGGGATCTAAGGGACACAATTGAAAGATATATCAGGGAAGGAAAGTTGCGTCAATACTTGATAAGAACTCAAGGGTGGAAGAATAATAAGAAGAGGAGATGAGGACGACTTATGAGCCCGCCCCGAGAAAAGAAGTTCAAGGAAGAGGGCCGAGGTAAGATGCCGGCCAAAGAAGAGGATGATGAATTCATAAAACCTGAGTTTGAGTGCAATGTTATTAGCGGGGGTTTTGGTGGAGGACGTGATACAATGAATGCCAGGAGAAAGTATTTAAGAGAGGTGCTTTCGATTCGAGAACAACCCAAGTTTAAAGGAGCCAAACCAGAAGCACCACTGCTGTTTATTACAAAGAAAGAATTGGAGGATGTCATGCCGGGACACGTTGACGGGTTAATTATCACCGGCACAATAGTCAATTGTAAAGTCAAGAAAATGTTCGTAGATAATGGCAGTTTTGCCGACATAATTCTGTGGCAGGCATTCCAGAAAATGAACCTAGATGTGGAAGACTTGAAGCCCTGCAACACGGCTTTGATTGCGTTCAATGGCCGCGATACTATCCCTAAGGGATACATTGACCTGAGGCTTACCTTGGGAACAAAGGAGGTTTACAAGTCGGAAATGATAAAATTCATAGTGGTTGACTTTCCGTCGGAGTATAACGTAATTCTAGGAAGGCCAATTATCCCCAATTGGGATATGCTGGTCTCCACCAAGCATCAGAAGCTCAAGATGATTGGTAAGCAGAACACGGTAATCACCATTCCTGGGGATCAAAAAGAATCTCGGGATTGCTATTTTAAGTCGGTCAGAGCAATAGGCAGTAACCTAAAGACACCAGCCAGGGTGAACCCCAGTAATAAGCAGAATAACTCCAAGAAGAAGGGAACAACATCGGTAAACATGGTGGAGTTGGACATGAGGGATGAAACTCAGATCCCAAGGCCGGAACCTGATGGAGAGCTGGAGGAAGTAGTCATTGGAGAACAAACTTAAACAGCCAAAATCGGAAAGGGGTTGACAGAAGAGAACAAAGTTCGACTTACTGACTGCTTAAGGAGGAACACAGACGTCTTTGCTTGGAAATCCTCAGAGATCCTTGGCGTGGACCCTGACTTTTGTTGTCATAAGCTCGCGGTGTACCCAAGATCAAAACCGGTAGCTCAAAAGAAAAGAAAGCTCAGTGCAGAATGTCGACAGGTGTTAGAAGATCATGTAAAGGAGTTGGTGAAAGCAGGGTTTATCAGAGAAATACAATACACAACCTGGATGTCCAACGCGGTGATGGTAAAAAAGCCAAATGGGAAATGGAGGGTGTGCACGACCTATACAGATCTGAACAAAGTAAGAAGGGAAATGGGTAACAGGTGGTTTAGGAGCTGTATCTTGAATGAGGAAGAAGGGAAACCGAATCCCAATCTTCGTCACCAGATCCCGGTAGAAGAAAAAAGAATGTGGCTCACCAGCGTTCCGGCCTGAGCAAACAGGTTCGTCATCGGCAGGAACGAACGTGTCGAAATCAACCGGGTTGCCAATGGGAAGCCCGGACACTTCTTCAGTTGACATCTCGGAGGCAAAGCTCAGCACCTCTTCCGTAACCCATGGATATTGGGTACGAAAATTATCGGTTACTGGAGCAGAACCTTTCTCGGCCGTACTCACCCCAGCCTTTGGACCTTGGCTAGAGGAAGCAATATTCGCATTCGATTCTGTAGAACGGGACTCCATAAATACCTAGAACAGTAAAATGAAAGATTAAAAGGCAAGAATAACACGTAGCAATGAGGATACATACCCGAATTAAACAAACTATTGTCAGAGGAATTAGAATCGTCAGATGCAAAAACAGGAGCGAGGGTGGTGAACCCGGGGTGTGTGAGCAACTACCCAAAACTAGGTTGGCCATGAAGTCATTCCCCCTCTCCACAAATTGAGCACTAAGGTATACGCAGTTGAAGCAAGGCTCGAGGTTGGTAATATTGGGGCGAGAAGGGACTCTCACACTCCGGTTCGGAAAGGGAACATGTGTAATAGCGTGAACCAGGGTAGAACCTAAGGAAAGGGGGGAAGTTGCCCTGGACGGGTTGCCTAGGTTTTGAGGACCAAGGCTTCGACCCCGGGCTGAAGGACCAGAGGAAGCCCTTCTACCTCGAAGACCCCCCTGCGACCATGGACCGAAGAGCGAGATGAAGAGGCTCTCTTATGGCCACCACCTTGATAGCCGCCTAGCAAAGCAGCCTGTGTTTCTTCCTCGGTTCGAGGCCTGCTGTACAACCAGTACCTCGAACCAGGAGGTAGGCTCTGAATGAACCTTTCCTCTTCTTCTGCAAATCGTCCTTCCTCTTCGGCGTCAATTTCATCACCATGACCGAAGGTGCAGGGGAAAGAGGGTCTTCCTCGAATGGTATAATTTCTCTCACCCATACCAGAAACTATTCAAAGCAGGGTGTGCAAGAAGTGAACAAACAACAGATAAGCTTATGTAGACAATGCGAGACTAGTACATAAGGTTTAACCAGGCAAGAACAGTATGATGCGTCACATATACAGATTGACACATGCAAAGGAACAAGCAAGTAAATAGGTCTGGAACAAAGAAAAGCATTGCAAAACCAAAAGCCATGGTCATATTGAAAAATTAATAGAGAATACGTCAGAAAGGAAAGGCATGCCGAAGGAAAATACCTGTGGAGAAAGGCGCTGAAGAAGCTGGAGATTGACGAACGCAGGAGATGGTGAACGTTGAAGGGAAATGTTATAGGTACTGCCAAGCGATTCGAGATAGTAACAAAGGCAAACAGACAATTTGTGAGACGAATGGTCTGAAATGAAAACTGAGGGTGATAATATGGGGGCTGAAATTGAAAGGTTAAACCCGCGAGAGCCAAAGGGCAGGGGCATTGCGGTAATTGCAGGGTGGACAAGACAGTTGAGAGACGTTTTTGCAGGAGCATTTAATGCTAAGGCGGCAAGAAATGCACGAAGTCACACGTTGAGCCTATTGGAAGGGAGTACGTGGAAAAGTAATCATTAGAGAGAAGGGAGATTGTTTCTCACTTCAAAGCAATCATCAGGTAGCAGTTAAATACAACCATTCTCTACGCTGCCGAAATGAGTGACCGAGTCTCTAGTCTAAGAGGGTCGCATGCCCTAAAACCCGGCAACGTAACCCAGATGAAAATTTCTGTAGAACATCCCGGATGCAAATATGCTTGTAAAAACCAGGGAAAGCTTTCCCTCTCGAAGCCAAGTGGGGAAGTCGAAATAACAAACCAGTCAGGTGACCAACATCCGAGCTAAAAGCACAACAGTCGACTTGACTTGGACATCCCGACAACCTGAAGACTCAGTCTACCGGGCTGTGGGGCAACTGTTATGGACCAGGGAAAGGCCCACGACAGCAAGAAGCCCAACTTACACAAGCCCAAAGGTATGCTCTATAAATAGGAGCTAAAGACCACAAGTATGGCTGATCTCTCTAACCCTATTTTCTTTCAAGCACGACATCGCACACACACCCCTTCAGGCTAAAGCCATCATACTGTAGTGATTCGTTGTCCCCAAGGTACCTAATACATAGATATATAGAGAGAAAACTATAGATCCAACATCAAACAACCGACTTACGGTCGGACACCTCTGCCCACGGCAGAACAGTAACATTCCAACTAAAATATTTTTCCTACTACATTCCGATAATAATTATTTTTTGGATAAAAAAAATTTCTCTTCTATCAAACGCTCCTGTATATGCGTCTTCTTCGTTTCTATATTTTACAACGCATTATTTAATGTTCTAAATTATAATCTTTAGTCAACAAAGGTAAAAATTAAATTATATCCCTGGCGCCATCGACTCTGCATATGTGAGGGAGAAGAAAAACATACCCTGTGTGGACAATCATACCTATGATATGAGTGGCATGCAGTGCCCAGTGCAAATGAGAATTGTGAGGGGAAAAAACCCAATTTTAATTTGATTGCTATTTGACAAGATAGATGCGGCCAAAATCAAAATCTCCAGTGTTATAAAGAACAAATGAGAAGCAGTAAATAATCAATATTCAAGCCATATTCACCGCAAATGTGGAAACTACATTAGCATATAGTTTCTCATTTTCTTTGGTACATATTCGTGCAGTTTATTAAGTTACGGTTTAAATAGGTCAGGTATTGGATCTGACCTAATTTGGTCAGTTAATCTGTATAGGTCTCAAATTATAAATTTGGTCTAACTTATATTTAAAAAATAAAAATCTTGGCATAAGCCTCTTAATCTGTTTAAGCCTATTAAACATTCAACAATTAAAAGAATAACTAAAACAATTTTTTTAGAGGCTCGACATGACAAAAAAAGCTTATGACTTATTTTCTAAATATATTTATTTAAAAGCCGAGGCTTGTTATACTTTGTTATTTGTAATAGGTCAAATTTAGTCCTATATCGAGCAGGCCTAGGCCGCAGCCGCTAATTACAACTCAAAAGTAGTTTTCCTGTTTTCTTTTTATTGAAATTTCATTCACCCCTGTATAAATATATGCCAAGGTAAATGAAAATTTTATTAAAAACTCACTAGCAATTACAAATACCGCAATTAATCAAGAAACCTCAGTGGTTATTATTAGCTCCAAAACAAAATCTTAGCCGTTGCCCGTTATTATATATATATATCTTAATTACTGGGGGCTAGATCGATGAAGAAGAAGCAAAGTTGAGAAGCTTCTTGGAATGAAGCCATGGCTTCACAAGCACCACCGAAGTGAACATTCTGTGAACTCCATTATGAGTGGCAGAGATCTTCAGGTAATACTTCATCCCTGAAACCACTTGTTGCTGCGCTTCAACCACCTCCGCGAACTTTAACTGCTCTCCACCATCGTCGACGTTATTCCGCCACAGCCTTAGACCTCGGTTGTGCTCCTCCACCGCGAACCTCCCAAGGTCCTGAACTTCCCTGTTTGTTCTCACGTCAGCAATCTCAGTCTTCTCCCCAACCATTCGCCCACACGATGGCGTAGAGAGAAGGGAGAGCAAGGTGACAAGGATCGTCAAAGTCACCGCCATCATCATCATCAAATTCAAAGCACAGCACGAATAATTATAACTTATTTGCTTGTTTAGCTATAAGAAGTAGTAAGGTCGAGAATGAAAGTACATTGATCAGCTAGAAGTTTCAACTTATGTGGAATATATATAGGGTTTGTCCTGTATACAGGGAAGAAATATCGATGGTACTATTGCTGTATCATTCACTTAGTGTATCTATCCAATAGAAAATAAGAAATGACTCATCTTTTATAGAAAGAAGAGAAAAATATTTTTTTATCCAAGTGTCACTTGTCAAATGGAAGATGTACATACTACAGATGTACAGAAAATGATCTCGTATTCAGGATATAAAATTTTGTCACGTTTTATAATTATGTATTGTCGAGTATATAATTATAAATATTAAAAAAAAAAATTCTTCACATCAATCCATAAATTTGTGAGAAATTTTTTTTAATATTATAATTATATGCTTTTCAAAATATATAATTATAAGAGGTTAACATGACAAAACATTATATCCTATTACAATAAACCTATATATATATATGGAAAAATTATTCTTATGTTACATGTGATAAATTTTTCTTCCTATACACCCTTGGATAACTTTGTCACATTTTTCATTTCTTTTCTTTTTAATTTTTTCTAGTGGTGGAGTCCACAAGTTTATCTCTATGACATAAGATAACTTATTTCCTTTAACATGAGATTAATAAAACTATATATATATATATATATATATATATATGAGGTAGGATCTTTTGACACCGGTGTCAAATTTGAAATTTGACACCTCCTCCGAGAGTCGTTAGATCAAAAAAAATCAATGGTATCGCATGCTTACAAATCAGAGTCGTTGATCTTTTTTGATCTAACGGCTCTCGGATGAGGTGTCAAAGGATCCTGCCTATATATGGAAAAAGTTATATCTATAATTTTTTTGTTTACAAACTCTTATAAACTATACTAATTAAATCTGACTAGTCAGACTTCAATTAAGAGTGTATGACTGATCAAATTTAGTGTGATTTATAAGTTTATAAGAATTTTTTTTTATCAATTTAACTTTTATATATATACACAACAGGTGTGTTTGGTTTGAACACGTAAAAACAAGCACCAAATATGAGATTAAGTGGGTGGAAGCAAACGGTGTGCCGCGTATATATTTGATGCGGTATAGGGATATGAGGTATTGGAGTTATCAATGGGAATTATTGAGTTATCACCTCGTGTTGTGGTGCAGGGCATGGGCATGTAGAGACAAAGGTATATATATGGTCCATGCGCAATATGCCTTTGTTGGTTTTGGTAGAGACTGACAGATAAGCCACCATCGTTTTGAGAGACTGCCACGTCTTAAGTATGCATGCAATAATGCATGCATATATATGCTGCAAGCAAAACAACTGGCTCGAGCTAGCTGTCCAGCTATCTCACCAAATTGCTTTGAATTTTTGTTTTTATGGTGCGATGGCATATCACTCTAATGAATTTGATATATGTGGATTATAAGAGCGCTTTATTAATCTCATTTTATATAAAATAATTATTGAGATTTATACTTCTTATGCAATATAAGAAGAGCCTTCTTATGCTACATTCACATCGTTTTGCGTGTCAATATTTTTAATTTTTTTATTTACCATTTTCCAAGAGACCCACCTAAGTTTGTGTGTGTTGCAAAAATTCTTATCTTATGTCACATAAGAAGTGTAAGCCCCATAATTATTTTATATCATAGAGAGAAAATGAATGGATTTTATCATTATAATAAAAAGTGAGATGCAAAAATTAAAGTGAAAGAACGTAAGATAAGTTATCTTTATGTAAAAAAAAGTAATATTTTTCTTATAAGAATGACATTGTTTTCTTTACTTAATTTGTGAATTGTGCCGCAAGTCTACAGCAAGGATAATGACAAGAATCTTGAGCACTTGAGTACACGAGTCAGGGCCATTTCGCTATATTTTAAAGTAAATAATAATAGTTTAATCGGCGCAAAGAAATTGAACAGCTGGAGAACAGTATACATTTGATAATATTATTTTTAGGAGATATTTAGAGTTTTAATTCTAAAATCTAATCCGAATCGAACTAATCACGAAGTGATGAACCGATTAAAATATCTTAAAAAATAATAATCTTAGCGGTATTTTTTGTTGGTGCAGACGGTGGGAGATTTGGGAGTGTGAATAATGCTAGTTAAAAATTATATTACTGTCATTTATCTTTTCATTCAGCCTGAATCTTGGACATTCATTGCAAGTTTTGAAAATACTTCAAAAATTAGGCTTCGGCATGACTTATTTTAGTTAGAAAATTTTATACACAATATTAATTAATTAGTTTTTAATTAATATAACAGTTTATTGTGATAATGATGAATTGACATTTTCGTATTTACTATAGATGGGCAAATGGGCAGGATATATAGACATTGATATCTGATCGACTCTGTGATTGATGAATCCAATAAATACAATGTTGATTAGGATAATGCTAGATCCTCTTTCTGGCTTATACACATTAATTGTGGATGATTTTTTTTCTTATAAGGACAAGTTTGGTCAAACATATTTTAATAAAATTCTTTTTATAATAAATAACAAAAGAAAAATTTAAAGCTCTCATTTTTTTTTTCTTTTTAATGTATGCAAACTTTTTTAGGATTTTTATATTTATTTTTCAGTTTCATCTTTATTCTAAACTTGTATTTACAAATTTTACCTTTTATTTTAATAACAAAAACTCTGAGAATACTTTTATATAATCAGCAAACAATATTTGACTTTATTTTTAAGTTTTTTTTTTTTTAAACCTTGCTTATAAGTAATTTTAACTTAAATTTTTTTCCAAATATGCTCGTAATCCTATTAGCCGTTATATATGTTCCCATTATACGAAGATTGTCGTATTGGATATAGGTTATAAAAAAAAAGTGACTAGGATATACAAATCAAGTTTCACTCCATCAAACAGAAATGATGCAATCATGCAATTTCTTTTCTCAAATATTAGTATGTTAGGGTGTTTTCTTAGCTATCATACTTCGATTTTGTTTTGATGGCCATGTTATACTCGCTTCAAATTTTTTGGTAACCATGTTATTATACTATCTATCGGGTCAAGGTGTGACGGCCTAATAAAATATAGGGTTGACCTGATAACAGTCCACAAACCAAAGCCCAGGTGTCCACAATCTAGTCCATTATACATAGAGGCTTTCCCAGTCCATTCTTAATAAACTGGATCATGGCTCACTTTTATTTTATTTTATTTTTTTAAAAAAAAGAGATGTTTGAAGACTTTGAGAACATTTGATAAAGCATTGTTATTACAGTTAGAGATCAAATAATCACTTAAATAAAAATTCTTAACTAAATAATTATACGAAATTGTTGTTTGATTGTTAATTGTTATTATTATTATTAGGAGAAAATATGTGTCATTGTAAAAGATGTAAAATTGTATAATTTTAAGTGAGAGAAATAGATGGTTAAAGAAGGAGAGAGAAAGTAGACAAAAAAATAAAATTGTGAGTCCCACCTGTTTGTGAGAGTGAAATGATATAAGTTATGTCATTTAAAAAGACAAATATTTCTCCCTTATTATTAATATTATTAAACAAAGCGAAAACTATTAGCATAATTTGGACATAGAGCTACACTCATTAGGTCATTTTGCTCTCGCCCACTACTAGCCAAAAAATATAGAATATAACTGATGTAGGTGCAACTAGCCAGTAAAAACACACAACGTCAACTGTCTTTGTAAAAGAGAGAGAAAAAATATTATTTTTATAATTTACACTATGCACTACTGGTAGCTCGCTGCTAACATACTTTTATGTTTTTTATTCATGAATTAATCACCCAAAATTAATTTTTTGATTTCAAAATTTCAAGTTTCCTTTAAATATTATAATTGCATTACGGATTAATTGGATTTATGATCAACTGGATTAATTGGGTTTTCGATCTTTTTCGATTCAAGAAAAAATTATACTATATCAGTATTATTTTCATAATTTGTAAATAGATGGATTTTCAAAGTGCATCATGATTTACAAATAAAATGAATTCTTTTATTAAAAAAAATAAATCACAGAGTTAAAAATTCCGTATCAATGTATCAAAAAAAAAAAAAAATCCGTATAAAAAAAAAAAAAAAAATTTCTTTAATTTCACGTGGGCCATCCTATGAGAGCAAGGTTCTATTTCTGAGTTGAGTTGATCTTCCGTTCGCCGCCGTCGCGATTCTCTACTCCACTGGCAGGCTCGACAATGATGGCGGTGGAGGTATGTTAACGTTGCTGCCAAAAATCCAATCTTTTTGCTGTTTAGAAAAATGGGTTTTCCATAATCTTCACTCCTCTATCTGTCTCTTCTTCAATGGTTCCTTTTGGAGGTAGTTTGATTTATAGAAGAACAAAGAACCCATTGCATTGCTTATGGTTTCAATCCTTAAAATTCTTGAGATATTGTCATTGTGAATGGAATAAAAATTTGAACTTGGCCCCAAACGAGAAGAAGCAAAGCAGGGTGGGGCTTTTTTGGGACTTAGATAATAAACCACCAAACTCAATCCCACCTTATGAAGTTGCCAATAAGCTTAGAGTAGCAGCATCTTCCTTTGGGGTTGTTAGGTATATGGTGGCTTATGCAAATACCCACACTTTTAGCAGTGTCCCCCAAGTTGTCCGTCAGAGGAGGAAAGAGAGGGAACTGTTGAATCGTTTGGAGAATAAGGGTGTCATCAAGCCAAATGAACCTTATCTTTGTAGGGTTTGTGGGAGAAAATTTTATACTAATGAGAAGCTTGTTAACCATTTCAAGCAACTACATGAGAGTGAGCACGTGAAGAGAATGAACCAGATAGGGTCAGCTAAGGGGAGCAGGAGGGTGAAGTTGGTGGCTAAGTATTCTATGAAAATGGAAAAGTATAAGAAGGCTGCAAGTGCTATTCTGACTCCTAAAGTGGGGAATGGTTTGGCAGATGAGCTTAAACGGGCAGGGTTTTGGGTTCAAACTGTTTTGGATAAGCCACAAGCTGCTGATGCTGCATTACAAAGTCACATGGTGGATATCATGGATCATAGACGGGTTGAGTGTATTGTACTTGTATCAGATGATTATGATTTCGTTGATGTAATCAAGGAAGCAAAGCTACGATGTCTCAAGACAGTTGTCATTGGGGATGCTAGTGATGATGGAGTCTTGAAGAGGACTGCACATGCTGCCTTTTCTTGGGAGGAAATTCTGATGGGGAAGGCTAAAAAGGAGGCTGTATCAGTTGTGGAAAACTGGAAAGATCGTGATATTTTGAAAAGGTTAGAGTGGACATACAACCCAGAAGTGGATAAAAAGAAATTCAATGCGGATGATATGGTTAGTGAAGCATCTGAAGATGATATTATAGAAGATATCTGTGATGAAGTTGATGATGCCTATAAAGATGACAAAGGTTCCTGGTGGGAATTAGATACAGACGACGATGTCACAAATTGACAGTCAGGCAAATTATCTATCTTATCTGTGAGTAGGTGAAGCTCACTTGACCTTCTACTTAGTCAACATTTTTGTGTGCAGAAATAATATGTTTGGGTCATCAAATTTGTGAGGGAAGATTGTAACTTAGAAGTTATGGATGGTTTTGGACTGTGGTAACTGAAAATGAAATCAGTAATTGCTTGATTATCTCTTTGGTTTCCCCGTCTTTAGCATGTCGATTTGTTTGATTTATTTTGCTTAGTCATGTACTGGGATGGTGCTCCCATTTGGTTTCCATACAAATGGTTTAGTCATGTACTGGTTTCCCCGTCTTTGGTTTCCATACAACAATAGCTATTTTCTCTTAAAATCAGGAAGCAGAGCTTTATAGGTAGATTGAAATATTGTGGCATGGTGCTCCCATTTGTTTGTTGTGTTCCATACATTGTAATATAATCAGCCATCCTCATTTTGTGCTGCACTGGGCATACCCCAATCATTGTTTTAGTGAGAACAAAAGGGAAAGAGTAAGATGGAGGCAGAGAGGAAGTTAGATCCAATTCCGTTAGTTATATATGCTCTCCAGTATAGTGCTTTTACATTATTACTTTCAAGTTCTAGTACCTACATGGTAAATTTTAAGGCCCCAGCACGTCAGTGATTTTCAATCCATTCCCCTTCGAATGCAACTAAGGATGGAGACAAGTAAAGATATAATAAAGAATCTGAAGTTCCTTTGAACTAACCTTTGTGCTCTTTCATATTTACCAGCCTTGAATAATGCATTCCCTTCTTTCTTTTTCTTCCTAGCTGCCTCAGTCTTCTCTGATTATTCCAATCCCACCATTCCTTTTCCTTAAAAAAGAGGAATTCTCTAGAGAGTAGCTTCCTCCTTTGCTGTACTCACTCTATCTTTTTTGCACATTTCTCTTTCTAATGAAGACTCGCATGTGAGTGTATACTAGACACTAGTTCCTTGTCTCTCTTTGAATGACTTCCAAACAGTCAAATTTTCTTCTATCATGAATAGCTGTCCAAAACACGGGAAGCTGGTTATTACCTTTCTCATTCTTTCAAGTCTCCCATTCCGGGTTTACTGAAATCTGAGTTTCTCATCTTATTAAGGAAGCATCCTCTCTCTTTCTATATTGAAATGCAAGTTTAAAATTTGAAATTGAATTATAGAGAATCGATGAAATCCTCTCATTCTCCTTCTATTTGGGGTAAATAAATCCTGGCAAAACTGTTCCTACAATTTTTCTCTTTGTGAAAGATTTAAGCAATGAACTCTGTTTCAAACCTTGAGATTTATCTTCTGACTTAGCTTTTGGTTTACAATGCGCCGGTGGTAATGGCAACCACTATTATGTTGTTATGCTTACTTGCTTAGTTTCAAAGCTTACTAATTCTCCAGTCCCTTTTGAAACTCAGAAGAGGCTGTAGGTGGCATAGGTTTGTTTGCAGCCAGTCGTATTATTACCTGGAATAGTGATCTGTTTTCTTTTCATTTTCGTTACGATTTTCCATTACAGATGTGTTCATACTTTATGCTTATATAGATGCTGATGAGAAATGATTGAAACAGAAACACTGATTGCAGAGTGCAGACTCAAGTTTGCTAAGTCCAAGATGACTCGTGCATGATGACACATCCTCAACTTGGTTTGTATTTTGTTACTGATAGAAGTTTCGTTTGTTTATTTATTGGAAGCAAAAACTTAGACTCTGCAGTGAACCTTAAATTTTTTAGATGTGTCCCAAGAAAAATCCTGCATTTTGTTTTGTTGTTCCTCAGTCCATAGAGAGAAATGCGATAACTAATCAAGGTCGTTTTCAAGATTTTCACTGTGTTTTTTTTGTTGTTGTTGGAAAATTGAAGTTCAGATGTTTAAAATTTTTGTCATTTTTCTTTGAAGTAATGTTGTTGAACATTTATTTAGTGCATTATATATGATGCTTTTATGGCAGATGCTACCTTCCCTGCCTTGTAAATGTTCTATTGTCATTGGTCAATATTAAACTGTTTAAGTAGTGTAAGAGAAGCCGTATATTTGCAAATGGAATTAATCTCTTTCTGGAACATTTCAAGCCACTCACAACTTAACAAAGATGAGTATTAAGATTATCGGAACTTTGGTATATTGATCTTTATTTTTCATGACACATACAGTTCTATACTTATGAAATTTAGGAGATTATATGCTTAAATTGGTCTTTCCAATATAGAGGGGATATCAAGTTGGTTCTTCAAAGATTTTAGACATTTAGTCCTTTGTAGTGTTAAGTAAACAATGCATGGAACAAGTTGATGTTGAAAAATACATCAAACAATTAAATTAATGTTCAATTTAAACATGGAGACTTCAAATTGATGTTCAAAATCTTTAGAGGGTTAACTTGATATCTCGTGTATTCTTAGGTAATAAATTCGAGTATATTACTCCTTTAGGAATTTAACACATCGTATTCAAATTTTCACGCTCAAAACTTTTGCACCTATGGCTCTTTACTACTTTCACGATTAATTAAATACATGTAGTAAATTAGTTAAAACTTAAATAAAACCAAAAAACCAAATGGTAAGGGAGCTTAGTAAGTGAAAAGCGAGGATTTTAGTTTGATTTTCACATGTTTTCTATATTATTTTTGAGAGGAGTTTAAATATTTTTACTCCTATTCGTTATACATTCTGAATTAGTTTCATAACTGGATTTAATTAGGGTTGATTTAATAATAAAAAAAACCAAGAAATATTAGGAAGACTTAGATATGTTTCGGTGACCTTTACAAAGAAAAGCAGCTCAGTATCATAGTACGAAAATAGATCATTTCATGTGGAAAAAAATATGACATAGTTATGTGAGAAAATCACAACTATAAAAAAATAAATAAAGTTATAATTTTATAATTATCTATTATAATATATATTTTTTCTTTTATATTATTATTATTAATTTACTTTTGTATAATTATGATTCCAGTTATATCATATATTTTTTCTCACTATCCATATACATCATAGTACACATTGGAATTGGAAGGAGCCAAAACCATGTACAGGCTGTATGGTCGCTGGTGCAATTTTCCCCTTCCTTATGTTCTTCTCAGATCTACCTAACCCCTCAGTTACATGCAATATATTTTTTGAAAAAAATGTGTATCATTTTAAAGAATATAAAATTGTATCATTTTAAGTAAAAAAAAAAAGATAAATTATTAAAGAGAGAGTGGAGAGAAAAAATTTTAAAAATATAAATCTCATCTCTTTGTGAGAGTGAAAAGATACAAAATGTGTTATTTAAAATGACACACTTTCTCCCGTAATTTTATATAAAAGTTACACCCATGACATGAATTAATATTTTGAGGGAAAAAAAAAGGAAAAGCTGAAGACATTCAAGATCAATTTCAAAGACGAATGGCTGCAAAATAATCCCATTGGCAACTTGCACAATATAAAGGTTTTTCTATTAACCTCTTTTTATGAAGTCATAGAAAGATTATTAAACAAATATTTTAAAAGGACATTGCTTTCTTCATCTAGCTAGAGTAAAATATGTGAAACAGTTTACCAAAAATAAATAAATAAATATGTGAAGCATACTTGTTAAGAGATATTTAATATTTTTTTTGGATTTTTTAATTGAGAAAGGTATTGTAATAACTAATTAGTGTTATTATCAATATTACTACCAATCAATTTCACCATTAGATCGATTATGTTGAACTAACGGTTATATTTATTTCCATCTTTGTATGACTATGATTCTCTATATTTAATACTTTATATTTATTTCTATCTTTGTATGATTATGATTTTTCATATTTAACGCTTTCACATTAAATATGAAAAATCATAACCATATAAATAAAAATAAATATAACAGTTGGATTCATATAATCAAGATTGATTGATAGTAATATTGGCGGTAATAATTATTATAATATCCTATCTTTTATTTAATTACCAAAAATTAAAAATCATTTTTAATATAATAATTTTTTTTATTTATTTACGAGGGCGTTACGAAGAATAGTCGTGAAAATTTTTTAGACTAAAAAAGTAAATAAATTTAAACTGAATAAGTAAAAAAAGTCTAAGGTGAGTTTGGGTAATGTTGTACGGAGAAGTGTTTTTAAGAGCATCGTTTCTTCATCCTATTGGCACCGTCGTCATTTTCATTCCTTCACACTGTGGTAGCGATTGCGGTCTCTGAATCCGAATTGAATTTTGATATCAATTGAAAATTGACGTGACGTGACGTGACGTGACGGTGACGGTGACGATGTCGGAGATGGCGAGCACAGATCCCGAGGGTGTTGACGGAGTCCGTATGACGTGGAACGTGTGGCCGAGGAGCAAGGTGGAAGCGAGCAAGTGCGTGATCCCACTCGCCGCCACAATCGCCGTGATCCGCCCTCATCCTGACATCCCGAGACTCCCTTACGCCCCTCTCCGCTGCAAGACATGTTCCTCCGCCCTCAACCCTTTCTCCCGCGTCGACTTCACCGCCAAGATCTGGATCTGCCCCTTCTGCTATCAGCGCAACCACTTCCCTCCTCATTACAACGCAATCTCCGAGACTAACCTTCCCGGAGAACTCTACCCTCAATACACCACTGTTGAATACGCTCTCCCTCTTTCAACCAATTCCTTCGATCCTTCCCCTGTTTTCCTCTTCCTCCTTGATACATGCCTCATCGAGGAAGAGATCCAGTTCCTCAAATCCGCAATTCGACGGGCGATTGGTCTCTTACCAGATAACGCTCTTGTAGGTTTCGTTTCTTTCGGAACACAGGTTCAGGTTTATGAATTGGGGTTCTCCGATATGTCTAAGGTTTATGTATTCAGAGGTACTAAGGAGATTTCTAAAGATCAGATTTTGGACCAATTGGGTCTTGGTGCTCCTGGCACTACTGGAAGGAGACCTCAGAAGGGTGGTTTACCAAATCCTGGTGTCACGCGATTCTTGTTGCCTGCTTCTGATTGTGAATACACTCTCAATTCGGTAACTGCTTATTCAATCAATAACATTACACCCTTGTGGCATTGCTGCTTATTGACAAATGTGTTGTGTTTCTTTTTCCAGCTGTTAGATGAATTGCAAACAGACCAATGGCCTGTTCCGCCTGCCACACGCCCCTCCCGGTGCACCGGAGTGGCTTTGAGTGTTGCGGCCGGATTGCTTGCTGCTTGTAATCCCGGGACCGGGGCTAGAATCATAACTTTGGTTGGGGGCCCTTGCACTGAAGGACCCGGCACGGTATATCAGTTTTATGTTCTTTGCTGTATATTCTTTGGTTCTTTGTTGCAATTTTCATTTTTATTGGGATAAAAGATTTGTCTGTTAGTGTTAGGGAAGGAATAAGAATGTGTCGCCATAGGAATGGTCAGGTGCGCCCATTGACTTGGTATGCAAGTTTCATGGTTGTGTTGGTAGAGACTGCACTTAAAATCTGATTGTTGTGCAAGACATTTAATTATTTGTGTCTGGTCACTCACGTTGAAGTGGAGTTGTGGTGAAGCCATAAGTTGCACCTGCAAACCTAGAAGGGGAGGTGTTTGAAAACTGCTTATACTTGTTATTTAAAAAGAGATAGGCATGCTGCCATTATTACTTATTAGCATGCTATAATGGTATGTTCATAAGTTTCAATTTCTTCTGTGCCGTTGACATCTTGGAGGGAGAATAAAAAAGGGACAGCTCTCATCACTTTGTCTTAATTTATAATTGAAATTACAAAAGATTCTGTGGTAAACTTAGAATAAGTGGTAGGGAAGTATGGTCAATGCTGTGCTTATTCTTGTTTAGATTGACAGTTACTGAAGAATCCATCCACAGAATTTTCTGATACAGATGATTTTGATGTTAAAATTTCTTTGCAGATTGTATCAAAAGATCTGTCTGACCCGGTGCGTTCTCATAAAGATCTTGATAAAGATGCAGCACCATACTTTAAGAAAGCAGTAAAATTTTATGATAGTCTTGCAAAACAGCTGGTTAGCCAGGGTCATGTTTTGGATGTTTTTGCATCAGCTCTTGATCAGGTCTGTGGCATCATGCTAATTTTTTCATACCTAGAATTCTTTCACTCGATAGTTGGATAAGAATGCATGTGTAGATCATAGATCTGATGGGTTTCAGAAGGTGAGATTTCTGAAGCATGTAGTGTGAGTTCTGATCAGGAAATGTAATATAACCATGCAGCTTATTTTTTTCAAATTCGACATTGGAAGGCATCTAACCTAGCATCTCTGCCATGATGTTTGACAATTTTCATACTGTAGATTTCTTATAACTTGTAAACAATTGAGTGTGCACTTGGATAAGCTTTGAAAAGAACCAAATAAATTTATTTAATTAAAAAAGTCTATTTTCTTAGAATCAGCCCAAACAATCGGGCCCGTCGTTCTTGTATATTTTTTCTTAATTTAATTTCATGAAAATACCTTATATTTTACCCCATTTTTGTGACACATTAACTTGAAGCATGTTCTCCATAGCTCCCCTTCCCTATAGAGAAGTTTTTGAGGCTACTTGAGTATATATTCTGACTATACCCTTTTTTACCCTAACTGGCAACAGTTGGCTACAAGACCTGTAAAGCTATTTATTCAATGTGGTTGATGAATGTGCCACTTAAATCCATCTGGGTGATTATATTGATGGTATTATGATTGTCAAGCTTTTTTTTTCCGCTCAAGAGAGAAGCTGGGTAATATTTCAACCTTGAATTCTTACCATGGACTTTATTGTGGGTATGCAAGAAAGTTTTTTGTTTATATTATTGAGTGGACATTCATGAAAATAGAATGTTGCATTGAAAAACAAATACGGTTTAATTATGCTCATTCTTTGTCTTCTGCTGATTTATGGATGTTTTAAATATTAAGGTTGGAGTTGCAGAAATGAAAGTTGCAGTTGAAAGAACTGGTGGCCTTGTTGTCTTGGCTGAAAGCTTTGGACATTCAGTCTTCAAGGATTCTTTTAAGCGCATTTTTGAGGATGGGGAGCAAGCTCTTGGTCTTTGTTTCAAGTGAGCATTCTCTCTCTTCAAATACTGATATTTTCTTTTTATTAATACATTTTCATCTCGCTCTCCCCTTATCTCTTATTTTCTCTAGATATCTTTCCCTTATCCCCTATCAGACGTGCTCATGACCAACTTCATTTATGTTTCAGTGGAAGCCTTGAGATAAATTGCTCCAAGGAAATCAAAATTCAGGGAATAATTGGACCTTGCACATCAATGGAAAAGGTTGGATCATTTTATACTTCATACTCTAATTTCATGTTGCTTATTGACTCTGGAATTGGAGTTTATGTTGGGTCAACTGAATTTTGATGGTTACAATCACATATTGCAGAAAGGGCCTTCAGTTGCTGATACTGTTATAGGGGAGGGGAACACAACAGCGTGGAAGATGTGTGGCCTTGACAAGAGTACATGCTTGACTGTGATGTTTGATCTTTCATCAAGTGATCGTTCAAACACTCCAGGTGCTGTCAACCCACAATTGTACCTGCAGTTCCTTACAAGGTTATGTTGGGGAAATTTCACTAATAAAATCTCATATATATATATTATTTTGTGCCGCTTTCTACTTACCGACTGGGCATTGAATGTTGTCATGTTCTTATTGCAGTTACCAGAGCCCGGATGGTCAACTTGTGCTTCGAGTGACAACAGTAACTAGAAGATGGGTAGATAGCTCTGTTAGCTCTGAGGTAGTTTCACTCTTTTTTATATTTCTGGCTGTGGATGGCTGTTTATTTGTCAATGTCCAAGAAATAGTTGGAGCTTGTTGAGAAATATAGTCCCACATTGGTTGTATGGACAACTAATGTGAGGTTTATAAGGCTTTGGGCACTCCCACCCTTTGAGCTAGCTATTGGGGTGGTGTATCCCAAGGTTCTTTACATGTGTATCCCAAGGTTCTTTACATGGTATCAGAGCCGTCGAAATCTCACCGCCTCCCACTTTCTTCGTAGTGGAATTTCCACATGTAGGTGGGCTTGTATGTTGTCCACCCTTCAAGCCACTGTGGGCTCTCGTGTGAGGGTGCGTGTTGAGAAATATAGTCCCACATTGATTGTATGAGCAACTAATGTGAGGTTTATAAGGCCTTGGGCACTCCCACCCTTTGAGCTAGCTTTTGGGGTGGTGACCTCAAGGTTCTTAACAGAGCTCATATAATCATCATAATATTAAGAAGCTTGAATTTTTTTTTATTTTTACTCTCTTTTCATGCTGTCAAGTCTGGTTCTCAAGTTTTGTCCAATAAAGATATCTAAATGCATTTACATTTACACGTGTTTTTTATGAATATCTCTGACATAAACTGGAAGACATTAGTTTAGTCCCTACATTATTTGCTAAGTAGTTATTGGCAAGGAGATTGTTAAATAGATTAATGACAGCATTTTTTTATTACATTATCTTTCTCTTCAGGAATTGGTTCAAGGATTTGACCAAGAAACTGCTGCAGTGGTAATGGCTAGATATGCTTCTTTGAAAATGGAAACTGAGGTATGTCATAAGTTGTGTTACTATCTTTGGCATTCCTAAATGTTTCTCCAATATTTTAACACCATGGGGATATATTCGCTCAAGCTGCTGTAAATTATATCCTTGTTGGAATGGGTGATTGTTGGGAATTTCGGCAAAACATAAAATTGGGAGAACAGCTTTGATGTTGATGGTTATGATGAAATTTGCACTTGTTTAATCATTTTGCTAATAACTTACTACAAATGACCATTTTATCGAATGTCAAATTTTGGACATGTATTACAAGTGAACTTTCTATAAACAATCGCCTCACTGAGCATTAAGTTTTGTTTGATCAGGAAACATTTGATGCCACACGGTGGTTGGATCGGTTCCTCATTCGCCTCTGTTCTAAGTTTGGTGACTACCGCAAGGATGATCCTTCGTCTTTTACATTAAACCCATCCTTTTCACTGTTCCCCCAGTTTATGTTCAATCTGCGACGGTCACAGTTTGTACAGGTACCTTTTAGTGTAATTTTCTTCCTGTGCTGCTTTTCAAAGTTCTTTATTTAACTTTGTGGCATGTGGGTGGGGAAATGTATTGGCAGGTTTTTAACAACAGTCCAGATGAAACTGCATACTTCCGCATGTTGTTGAACAGGGAAAATATTAGTAATGCTGCTGTCATGATTCAGCCATCTCTAATATCATATTCATTTAATTCACTGCCTGCACCTGCATTGTTAGATGTGGCTTCCATTGCCGCAGACCGGATTCTGTTGCTAGATTCATATTTTAGTGTGGTAGTTTTTCATGGGATGACAATAGCTCAATGGCGCAACTTGGGATACCAGAACCAACCAGAACACCAGGTTTGTGCTTAGTCATCATGTCCTGCTAAAAAACTTATTGTTACCTGCAAATTGTGCTCCCAAATTGAACTTAGATTTTAACATATAATCTTTATAATCTTCCAATTGGGAGCATTAGTTACTTTCTGTTAATTTATAATGGAAGTTGTTTTGTTCAGAGCCATTTTATGGTTAGTGTCAAGTGTTGCATTTATCATTGTTTCTTTTCTCACTCTGCCAATAACTTTAATGTATGGCCCAGGCATTTGCACAACTATTACGAGCTCCACATGATGATGCCCAAATGATAATTAGAGAACGGTTCCCTGTTCCTAGATTGGTAGTGTGTGATCAACATGGTTCCCAGGTCAGTATTGTTTGCCAAGACCAGTTTTAGTGTTATTTGTCTAACTGTTAGGGATTCTTTCCTGAAATTCATTCATATCATGAGCGATACTGATGTGGAGTGTTTCTTATTCTTATCCTTCCATGACGCATTAGCTGTCTTCTTCTCTCTCTCCTTTTCCTTTTCTTTTCATTCTTTGATTACTTAAGTTCAGTTTTTTCGTAATGGGAAACTTACTGGTGTTTCATTGTTGTTTAACAGGCTAGATTTTTATTAGCAAAGCTGAACCCCTCAGCAACATATAATAATGCCCACGAGATGGCTGCTGGTTCAGATGTCATCTTTACTGATGATGTGAGCCTTCAAGTTTTCTTTGAGCATCTGCAAAGGCTGGCTGTCCAATCTTGAGGGCAGATAATAGTACGGACTGACAGTTTATGGGTTCTGGACTTTGGTTTGGGGAATTCACCAATGATGTGTGTGTCCTGCATTGCGCTGTTGCATTCAGTTATTTTCCTTTCTTTCCTTCTTTCTTAACCAAGAGAAGGTTGGTGCCAGAATGAATTAAAGAATAAGGAAGAAGGAAGGCGTGAAACATGATTCTTTAGGGTTCTGGTCGAATTTTATTTAATGGAGAAAATAAGGGGTTCAAACGTATGTTGAGTTTGGGTATTGCGGAAGGAAAGGGATAGAAAAATGAGTTAGAGCTACCTTTGTGACAGCAGCATAGCAAACGAGGGAAATATTTTTGTCTCATTTTTTCGTATTTGTTTTGGCCCAGATCTGAATTTTTGGGTTCCTCATCTGGATTAATTTATATAGTTCTTTTACTTTTACATGCTCCCTAGGTTGCGAAGTAACAGAAGTCATTTTGTCATGTTGGAGTTTGATATTAGCTATTCCCTCTTTACACTGTTTTGTATTGTATATTGTGAAGTAAGCATATAGGACTCATCGTGGTAAATGAATACTTTTGGGTGGTCCCTGTTTTCGTTCTAACTTCCAATCCTGCCTGAAAAGTGAAAATGGGAGCTTCTTATTCCACAGTGCGTTGGCCTTTGTGAAGACCTTCACCTGCTCCTAGTGAAGCCATTTCTTACTCACACTCGAAACATTTTTCATTATATTTTATTTCCGCTAGAAGTAAACGTGCCAAAAAAGATTACGAGCCACTGCGGAAACTCTTAATTTCTTAAAAATTTATATTAGATCAAACAAAATGATACGACACTGCTTATATTTCTTTTGGCATATGATAATGTATTAAACTATAGACCGATAAATGAGTGTGTAGTTGTATGTTTGAATTCCTTAGTTAAATGAGTTATGTTCCAAGCTTTAGCAATAAGCACCTCTAGCTGTTGATGTTTGGAATGACAACAGATTTGCCATCTAACCAGATCCCGTACAGAATGTTGTCGAATCAATCTACTAAGTTCAAATGTTAATTTTTCTGCAATATGGAGTCCAAAAGGAGTCATGAACCATAAACTTTTAAAGTGCTGTTTTATTTTCTTCAATCGTCCATTGTCCACTAACAAGAAAATATATAATCAATAGCAATATAGATAGATGCCATTAGGTTTCAGCAAATAGTTGATCACAGAAACAATAACATAATCAGAAACAATAACATAATAATAATAATAATAAAATAAGAAAAAAGTGTGTGTCATTTCAAAGGATATAAAATTGTGTGTTTTTAAGAGAGAGAAAGAGATAGATAAAGGAGGAAGAGAATTGACAAAAAAAATAAAGGTGTGGGTCCCACTTCTTTGTGAGAGTGAAATGATATAAGTTGTGTCATTTAAAGGGATAAACACTTTTCCCTAATAAATAAATACAAGAAAGAAACAAAATAAGTTATGACTGACCCTACTTTATCAATCTCACCAAACAAATGGACTGAAAGAAACTTGACACTTCATCCCATTTGAAGATGCCCATGTTACATTTCAAGTCATGAAAACCCCTTCTTGCTTCTTTTGGGCACCCTAGGCATGGTTGCCATACCATTCTCAAGATTTTAGGACATTGTATAAGGCCTAAAACAAGGACTTCTTTAGCAAAGTAAGGGAAGCTACCTGAAGTGAAGTGGAATACTCCGTTGTGATGCACATTTGAAATACCAAGAAGTCATCTTATTTTTCTTTTTTCTTTTTTGTAATGAAGAAGTCAACTTAGCCTTGGTAGCATTCTAACTCGATTTTAATATCAGCATCAGGGTTGAATTCTTTGAAACAAGCATCCACAACGGAGAACCCTTAATGCCCATTGGCTGAAAGAGCTCAACTTGGGCCCTATTATTCTTGCAGGCCGAGCCCAACAGAATGAGCCTAACTACCTATAAATATTGCAGTTGCAGCGTTTTGGCGCGAAAGTAGTTGGAGAAAAACAAAAGCTCCATTCATCTTCTTCTTCTATCTGTTTCGTGACTGAGTTTGAAAAGAGAATGTACTTTAGCAACGATTCACAGGATGTGGATCTTGACGAAGATGGCTATTCATCATGGTCGTGCTCTCAAGGCCATCGATCTTCACTGAACCTGCAAACGCCAGAAGGTGGCTCAATTTGCCTTGTGTGCTTCTCGAACCTCGTCTCAAACCCTCTCTCACCAACCATCCATGTCTCCTACGCTCTCTCTCAGCTCTCTCGATCTATCTCTCACCCTCCTTTCCTTCACTCTATCCTCACATTCAACCCTCACTTCCTCGTTTCACCTCTCGTCAACGCCCTCTCCTCTTTCGACGACGAACCTATCGCTGAACAGCTCATCAATCTCATCCTCGCTCTCTCTGCTTCCGCCGATCCTTCAGTTTGCCATGAATTCGTAGCTAGGGTTTCAGATCGCCTCTCTTCTGGTGCTTTGGGTTGGAGTTCCCGTCAATTGCACATGGTAATTTCCATTTCCATTTCCATTTCCGTACTCGCTTTCTCTGTGTCGATTTGCATTGAGGTTCTATGCGAGTAAGGCTTGCACAGAGTCGATGTACAAACAATGAAATTGTTACTGTTGTTCTGATGCTTGTGAATGTACAGCTGCACTGCCTAGGGGTTCTACTCAATTGTGAGAAGGATGATGATCTCCATGCACACATCAAAGATATGTATAGCCTCATTTTCATTCTAGTTACGGGCCTTCAATTGCCTAGGTAAAAATATTGTATTGGATGCTGTCAACTTTCTGTGCTGTTTGTTGTCTTTCAAATTTATTTCACACATGCTAAGTCTTCTCTACTTCCTTAGTGCAGTGAGGAGATTCGTGGGGAGGTCCTTTTTGTCCTTTACAAACTATCTGTTCTTCAGAGTACATTAGCAGAGGGAGATGGAAGGGATATGCTGATTCCCTTTTGTCCAAAGCTCTTGTACCTATTGGCAGACGTTCTCATGAAGACTCAAAATGATGATGTTCGCTTGAATTGTATTGGTCCGTTATCAATTTCTCGATATTTTTTGTTCGTTGCAAAGAAAGCTTGAAATTCCTTTTTTGGTGTCTCGTTTGTTTTAATTTTTGTGAAGCTTATTTTGGAAAGGTTGTAAGATGTGACATTAGGAGACTTGCTCCGAAAAAGATTTGCTGTATATGTCTCATGGGTACTCATAGATACAAAGATGATATAAAGCAATATATTTTTTACTATTAGGAAGCCTAGGTGAAGTTACATGCTGACAATATAAAGACACAGAAACACATGCATCACTTTGGATGACCATTTTATATCATGATTTATGAATATCAGTTGAAAGGTCGATTTCCTGCTACTATCTCTCTCTCTCCCCCTTTCTAGGCGTATGCATCCATAGCCTATATTGCTTAATGAACGAGTAATTAACCTTGATCACTCAAAGGTCGGTTAGATGTCAGTATGGCCATAGTTTACAAAATAGATTTGAAGAGTAGTAAGATGCCATAGTTTATCAACTTTCATTCTTGTCTTATTTTGACTAACAGTTTCCGTTATTGTTGATTAGCACTTTTGACTCTACTGGCCCGACGAAATTTGCTCAGGGAGGAATGTGCATATGATACTTGTAACATATCTTCCTCTGGAGGAGTAAATTCTAAAGAAATTGAAGATGGAACAAAGGGATCATCTCTGGTTAATGTGTTTGCTGAAGCCATCAAAGGCCCACTGCTTTCGTCAAACAGTCAAGTCCAAATCGGCACTCTAGATTTACTCTTTCATTATTTGTCTTCAGTTGGAACTTCAGGCAATCAGATTCGAGTCTTGTTGGAAGAAAACATTGCGGATTATTTGTTTGAAATATTAAGATTGTCAGGTGAGAACTTTGTACAGAAATTGCTAACGGCAGTCTTTTGCCCTGATGAAAGAGATTTTGATGTACCTATGCGGAATACTTTGCTTACTTTATTGCCTCTTATAATTTGCCGCAACATAAAATGAAAACATTTGCCCTAGTTTGGACTCATTGCTGATTGATTGAAATTAATAGTTGGTTATCTGGATAAGTTTTCTCTATTCTAATTTTGCTTGACTAATCTTTTTGCATTATAAGTTTGTGAATGCAAAACTTAAATATTGACCTTACTGTTTATACTTTGGTGGTTTACTAATTATTCTGTTAATGAACAGAGTATAAGGATCCAGAAGTCAAGATGTGCCTTCATGTACTAGATCTTTTATCAACTGCTGAAGAAGCCTTTAAACTAAGACTTGTTGTTGGGTTTTCAACTCTGATTCCAGTACTAAGTTACGTGGCCGAAGTTCCTTTTCACCCAGTCCAATGCGAGACACTGAAGCTCATTCATGAATGCATTTCTGAGTGCCCTGGAGCTGTATCAACATCTCAACTGGAGGAACTAGTTCTAGTTTTGACAAGAATGCTTAGAAAGCATTCTGATGGGGAGATGGGTATGATTCCTGAGACGTTTATAATGGCCTGCTCAGCCTTTGTGGCTCTTATAAGATCTCCATCTTGTAATGGAGCTTTAGATCTGTCAAAATCAATCGAGGAAGCAATGAAACATGCCATTTTAGCTTGTCTCTATGTCTCTGAAAGGGATATCAACAAAATTTTGCAATGCTTGTACCTACTTAAAGAGGCATATGCATACAGTCATGATGGAGACTCCACTAACTCTAGTAAACTGGAGCTTAGAAGCTGCATTCTAGATATATGCCAAACACATTTACTGCCTTGGGTTGTAACGTGCATCAATGAAATGGAAGAGGAAATTGTCCTGGGTTTGCTGGAAATTTTTCATTCGATACTGCTTCTGCACTCTAGTGTTGATACCATAGAATTTGCGGAGACCCTGATTTCATCCTGTTGGTTCAGTTTTTCATATGGATGTCTGGGTTTGTTTACAGGACATAGGATGAAACAAAGAATATATTTGTTACTCAGTTCACTCATGGATTCTCTACTGGGCAATGATTCTGGACATCCAATTAGAGATGCTGCTTTACACCTGCCTTCTGATCCTGTCGATTTACTCTTTCTGCTAGGGCAAAGGAGTACTAATAGTTTAGATTTGCTTTCTTGTCAATCTGCTGTTTTACTGATTATGTACACCAGTTCACTATATGATGAAAGGTAGTTGAACTGCCAAATCCTTTTTATTCCTACTCCCCTGATTGACAATTCATAAACATCTATTATCCCTAACAGTTTTCTGACTTTCATTGCCAGACTTGCAGATGAGAAGTTGGTTTTAGCTTCTCTTGAACAATATATTCTTCTTAATAACAGTGATTTTCACAATCAGACCACTGATAATTTGACAGTGACGCGACTGGTGAATCTTTACAGTTTGTTAAGGGGTCTTGGCAATATGAGCTACCAAATTCACTACAGTCGAGAAGCTGAGGAGATTATATTCCAGCTCATAAACAATGATGAATGGTATTTACTTTCTGCAAGAATTCACACGGTATCTTTGAAGTGGTTGTTTAAACAAGAGAATATAATCAAATCATTGTGTCATCAGATTTTGAAATTCTGCAGAAGCTATAACTTAGAAGGGGCTGACAAAATTATCGGAAACAATAATCAAACTATAAATGTACAGACACTTGCAGAATTAGTGTCCACTGAAGATAATTATGGAGCTAGACTTTTCGTATGCTTATTGACACAGCTTTTTGAGGAAGAAGGCCAGGAACATGACATAATTTCTGTTCTGAATCTGATGGCAACCATAGTTCATGTCTGTCCAGCTGCTTCTGACCAATTATCTTTGTATGGAATAGGGTCAGCACTTAGGGCTTGGTGTTATTTGAGTAATACCTTCTCGACAACAACTTTCATGTCCATCTTGAATTTGGTATTTAACACTTTGAGTTCAGTGCATCCTGAAACGCTATCTGCTGATCAGAGTTGGGTTGCAGTAACGATGAAGGTGTGAGTAGCTGAACTTCTAATTATGCGCATTGCATCCAATTTTTAAAAACTAAAATGTTAATTTAGTATATAAAGTTGTTGGAGATAATATAAATTTATTCACTATCATGGTTAGAAACTCCCATTTGTGGAACTTATTTTCCTCTGAGTGGCTGCCTTCAAGCCTCTCAATTTTTAATTGGCTAGAATACTATTTTGGTCCTTCCAATTTACTCTAGCTTTCGAGTTAATCCCTGGATTTTCTAATTTACTCCTTAGCATATTTATCAGCCTCTATGTAATCTGTGACCCCTCCATGAGTTTTAATCCAAAATGATGATATACCACATTATCGAGTTATGTTAATTTAGTCGTAATTTTGCCCAATTTTTAAATTAGAAATCCTGAATGTGAAAATCCTGAAGGATGTTAGTTAGCATCTAGATTTTAGGCAAAGCAGAGCCGTAGTCTATATGGCAAAGCATAACTGATGTGTGGAATCCAATGCTCATGTTTGGAAATGCGTGAACAGTACGACATTATAAATAGATAACAGGCCGCAAACAACGATTTGAGGATGGATTACCTGAATGATATCGAAATATTAAAACTAAACTGACAAAATTTAAAAGTTAGGAACCAAGCAGAAGTAGATTATAGCAAAGTTACAATTACAGATGAGGTGGAATTCAAATATTGTGCTGTGATACTACAATAATTCTGTAACTTACCAACTCCCTCTTAACTTGTTAGAAACCACAATGACTTGGTCAATGATTGTTCTAACAGCACGTTAACGCTTCTGCAGATGATGGAGTACTCTATTCCACCCCAAAAGGCTGATACCTTAAGTTATGAAAGTCTCTTCGTTATTGGCATTCTTTCCTTAATTTTGCATCTTTCCACCAAAAAAGCACTTGAAGAGGCTTCAAAGCCCATTCTTTTTAATACTTGTATTATCACTGTGGTCAACACTGTAGTCTGTGCAGCTTCTTCGAAAGGACCCGCTTTGGTTGATCATGACGAGGGAACAAGCACTGGAGAAGCTTTAATACTTGTTCTTTTGCTACATTTCTTTGCTGTTAAAAGGTAAGCCGGTTCACATCAGGATTAATAAAAGGATAAATTACACTTTATCCTCTATGTGCAAATTAAATATAGGATACTAACTCCAAAATATTAAATTTTACTCTCCTCACGCTTTACCTAAATAAAAAAATATCTAAGTTGTCAAGCTAAATTTCCTGTTCTAGTTTGCATGCTATCCTTCCAGGGTTTGTGGATTGGCAAAACTTCCTTGTTTCAACGAGTCCAGCAGAGCCGTTAGCCTTCATTGGCATCCGTTGCCATGACTTGTGCAAACTTCTGCATTTTGGTTCTCCTTTGATAAAGGTTACTGCTTCATATAGCCTGTTAGAGTTGTTTAACAGAATATCAGAACAAATAAACAGTAAACACGAAGAGTTGAAATGTACTGTTGGATACTTAATGTCGATAAGGAGTGTACTGGAAGGACTGGTTTTTTATAATGACCTGAGAGTGGCTACAAATTGTGCCCTCTGCCTGTCAATGCTGCTGGGATGGGAAGAGCTGGCTAAGGAAACAAAAGTATTAGGAAAGAGCAGCTGGTGTAGATTGATTACAGAGGAGATGACTGTATCTTTGGCTGCTCCTGCTTTAGCATCACAATCATGCATCAACAGTCAAAGGCCTGCAGTACATATAGCTATTGCGTTGCTGAAACTGCATAAAATCCCTCAGTGGATGAGATCCGTGTTTAATAATTCATGCATATCTGGCATACTGGAGAACCTTGCTGCTAGTAATTTGAGCTCGGAGATATTGGTTTTATTTCGAGAACTACTGAAATCTGACTTTTTAAGTAGTGAGCAAATTGCAACTATAAATCAAATACTGCAGGTAACTCATTCCTTTTGTCTTCTTTTAGATTTCCTTATTTGCATTAAGTTCTATCCAGGTTTGCACTAGAACACTTTTTTATTTATATTCGAAGTACATACAAAAACTGTTCTACGTGTACCTAATCGACAGGGTTTATTGATACTGATAAACGGTGATTCAGCAAAAGAAAAACATGCGAACATGTTGGTATGCGAACACGTTTAAATAATAGATTACATGGTTATGCCATTTCTGATGATATTTACAGGAATGCAGAAAGCGTATTTACACTAACAATGCTCAAGAAGGTTTGCCAAATGAACCGATAAAGAAGGTCCTCACCACACCATGTGATCTGGGAGACGTTTGTCGGTATCTTATAGATTTAATTTCTTCAGAGACATATTTAGATATGGTTTCCTGGGGATTTCATATGGGCAGTAACAGACTCTTAGAAGAAATAGAGCTGTTTTTCAGTACCTTGACAGTAGATGATGATAGTTGAAGATAGCTTCAGTGTTTATCTAATCCATTGGACTCTTGGATCTGACCACTGACAACAATGGTAAGCACTTCTTGAATTTGTTGACAAACTAACAAAATGATTCTGTGTACGTAGATTGAGTCTAGATAAAACAGCTAAATGTATCGTTTCTGCTAAGCAAAAGCTTGTGTCCATATATATATATATATAAACGGGTGATAACATATAAACTCACGTTTCCTTGTAATGTTAAATCATTTTTTTTTTTCCTGAACAAATTCATATGACAAGTTATTTATTCTGTAATAATTTTTTCTATAAGCATATGTCATTCACATTGTACTAATACGCACGTTAAACAATTTAAGTTGAGAAAGTAGAACCATGAAAACAGGATAATTGTTTTGAACTTCACAATTAAAATAGAGTACGTAAGTATGTTAAACTTCAAAATTAAGTGTGTTAAACTATCATTATTATTTTTGATTTCTTGTGAATTTCAAACCAAAAGGTTGTCTACCAAATAAAAAAGGTAGCTTAAACGCGATGGAAATTGCATTACAAAAGTAAGAACTGTTTCCGCCTAATGGCAAGCTGGTGATTAGCATAGCCAATGAAAATCATTGAAATATTGAAATACTAAAATGAGATTTCAATAGATAAAGTAATTTTAATAGATAATAAGGATAACAGAAAATACAGTAGCTTTTACTGACAAATGAAGAAACGAGTAAGAACGAGACATTATACACGAGGCAGGTAAGTTGGCATGCCAAAGGGACTAGTGAGAAATTTGCATAATGAGTGAAACTATAGAGTGATCACCCATCGTTAAAAAGTCTGAATGCATAAGCCTTCAACCACTCGAAAGAATTAAGGCCTACAAGCATCCAATTATACTGATATCAATTTATTGGAACAATAGTGGACTAAACTTCCCCAGTCATGGCATGCAGAAAAAGATCAAAGTTCTTTAGCAGATAAGGCTCTAAATTCAAAACATGAAAAAAAATCAAACAGAAGGTAAAAACTAGGAGAAACATTTGCTGAGAAATCCAGTTGAGTCAACGGTCATATAATCTAAGACATAGCCTCTACTTCCTAAAAATAAGATAGAGGAGTAAACCATCCTTTGTTCTCCAAATTATGTTTGACTAGTTAGCTATAACAATTTTAAAAGTGGCATATCCATTTAAGTAATATTTAAAAACAAGATAAACGAGCAATTTCTTCCTTTATTACCCCTTTTATTTAGACTAGTCATATCTAATAGGAGCGGTATTTATAAATTGCATAGCCCAGGGTAGGCATGATTCCAAACAGAATATAAAAGTACTAATCACAAATCACAAAGAAAGACTAAATCGTCCAACAGGATAGGACTATATTGCAGGTTCCAACAGATCATCATCACTATTTTTGTATTTACATTTACATTTCAAATAATGGAGGCTTTAGCAGCTCAAAGTTTTCTAACAGATCAGCAGTGACGAATAAATGAAGGAAAATGCTTAAAGAGTCGCTAGAAGCCTTGGTATGTCATATTTAGACATACTAGATTAAAAAAGAACTTACAGAACCTTAGAAATTTTAGGAGACCGGAAAACAAATCAATATAATTAGGATTTTTAGTATGTACAGACCATCTAAACAAACTAGTTCAAGAGTATAGCAGCAACATAGAAATATACCAAGATGTGCTTTATGGATCTCAGTACAACAAACTTTACTAGTTTAGCACATAATTCAGTGGAACACATGGCAGAGTAATATCTAGTGTACTGTAAATATCAAATAAATAACTAATAAATGCAAAATTACAGTTTTATTCCTATATTAACAACTCTAAATTACATACAAAAACCATGAAATGCAACACTGAGCTAAACTTGAAACTTTGCCCATGTCAAGATGCCCATGTTATAACTCAAGTCATGAGAACCCGTTGCTGCTTCTTTTGGCACCCTAAGCATTTTTGACATATCATTCTCAAGATTGTAGGACATTATATAGGGCCTTAGATAAGGGCTCCCTTTGGCAAAGTAAGGGAAGCCATCTGAAATGAAGTGGAGGGCTCCATTGTGATGCACATGCATGATGAATTTCATGTTCCTACCAGTACCACTGAAGAATCTTTCTTTTGCTTTCCACGCATCTTCCTTGGGACGGTAAACCATGCATACAGAATACGGGGACCAATCAATTGGGTCTTCAAAAAGAAATACTACGAAGTCATATGAGCTATGGTTGCATTCTAACACGGTTTTAATATTAGCATCAGGGTTTTCTTGAAGTTGTTCTGGGTGGGGAATAGCTCAACTAAGTTCTTACTTGTAGTACGTCAAAGAATCAATCTATTATTGGAAGCTAGGACTCTGGCTGACTTTGACAATAATTTCACAGCCAAAGGGAGCCCTTGTTTTAGGCCCTATATAATAATGTTCCACAATCTTTGTGATATCTTTCTTCCCTTACTTGGAATTGGAAAGTAAGATATCACAAATTTTTTACACTGTTTTTCTTGCTTTCTGAAAAGCAAAGGTGGGTTAATTATTTTGGCTTCACACAGTCAATACTATCATTATGTTTTGACAATAAAGCAATGAGGTCATAGTAAGTCCATGTTTTCCTTTCTCTATCCTCAGGGTGAAGCGAAGAGTACACTTCTTCACAGCTTTTAAGAAAATGACCTTTACCAAATGCCGTAAGGACCAGAGAATCAGTTCTCATTTCTACTACTCTGTAAAGATGGCCCATTCTTCTCCATGATTCTAAAGCACCATTACCATCAAAACCAATTCTATTTGCATCAAATAGAATTCCAATACTAATTATATCAGGCTTCACCCGATAGATTGGCAATAGAGAGAGCAAAATTCTCAAATGCTTGAAATCTTTCATCTTAACATAAGCCAACATGATAATATTTGCAACAGTAACATTCCAATGAACCTTGGCCTCTGTCATTTCCCGAACAATTGTATCCATACCTTTTCGACTCAAAAGACATGCATAAGAAAGGAGACGGAGACACCATACAAGGTCAGTCTCACCAAATGCTGTACGTAATTCTAGTCCCAGGTCCTCTAATTTAGAAAACATGTAGTTCTTGATATAAACTTCAGCCACTTTTCTAATCAAATCATCATCTAGATATGTTTTTGAGTTCAAAAGTTTTCTGTAAATTTTTTCCATCTTTTCAACCATCCCAAATGTGGTATAAGCCTCTAGCATTGCAACAAAAGTAGAAGATTGCAAATGCATTCCTTTTGAAAGCATTCTTTGATAAAGCTTTTCCACTCTCTGGAGTAGCCCGCCACGTGAATACTCTTGGATTAGTATATTATAAGTAATGTGATCAAGAGAACATCCATCCAACTCCATCTTTTTCACACACTTACCCATCTTATCATACATTTGAAATTTCCCATAAGCTCGAATTAAACCATCATAGGTTTCAGTGTCCGGTTCTAAACCAAATTCTCTCATCTCATCAACAAAATGTAAAGCATCGCTGAATTTACCTTCTATGGAGAAACCGTGAATTATTGGATTGTAAGTGTCCAAAGAAGGCTCGAGACCTTGAACTTTCATCTCTTGCAATGCAGATACCGCAACTTCCATCATTCCCACTTCACATAACAAGCTTATGATCTTGTTATAGTTGAACTCATTAATCCTCGATTTCTCAATGTTCTTCCACATATCAAACACCTATTCACAAACTCCAGGGAATCAATTACTGCAAGGTGCTAAAAAGATTATATAAAAACAGTACAATAATACAGAACCAAAAGTAACCATAAATAAATTCCAATTAAGACCCATTTATGCAAAGCATTCAAATTGGTTAAAAGAATGAAACTTTGGCTAAAAGGGTCCCAACCTGAACGATTTCAGTGAACCTCGAAGCCTTTTTAAGGAACCTGACAACGGCCCAGAAATGGTCTTTGGACCAATCTCCATCTTCGGTGAGAATGCGGAGAGGGCATGAATCTTCCTTCTGAAGCTTCGCAAGTAAGATTCTGAGGCTGTGATGGACATGGTAAGTCTCAACCAGTAGGGTTGTATGCTTCGAATCTGAAACTGTATCAGTGAATGATGGGAGTGGGTGGAAAGAGGCAAACCCAATTTGAGTGTTGAGGGTTCGGAATTTCGCAAAGGGTTTCCGGAAGACGCTGTTGCTGCTGCTCTTACTCCCTCTCAATACCAACTGCAAGTGACTGTGACTGTGACTGTGACTGTGAGTAAGTATATTCTCCATTTTCTTCTTCGATTTCGAGCAACTCCTTATCCTATTTATTGATGGACCTTCGATCTTTTCTTTTTTATTTTTCTTTTCCCACAAAATTTAAACCCTCTCTTTCACATATTTATTTGTACAATTTAGTTTGTTTGCTTTAATTTTTGTTTTCTTTGATCAATGTGAACCTTTGAAAAAACAAAAAACTTCAAAAAAATTCCTGTAACGTTTTTAATAATCATTTACTCCCTCTTCAAAATTTTGAATCATTTATCCTTGATTTAAATTTTTTTTTTATCATTTATCTCTCCTAAATGAGAGGTTAAGTGATAAAAAAACTTTAAGTCGGAGGATAAGTAATAAAAAAAATCTAAATAAAAACGTAAATGATTCAAAAAAATTGTGAGGGGTAATGAAAATTAAGAAAACTCATAGGTTTTTTTTTTTTTTTTTGAAGTTTTTCCAAATTTTTTTTATCTCATATGGATGGAAAAATTCTCCCTACCAATAATTTCATTAAATTAGCAAAATTGATGAATTAAGAAAGTAAATTAACAATTAAAAAAATTAGCGAGAGACTAGTATTTTTTTTTTTTGAGTTTAGTATTTGTCATTTTAAATGACATAATTTTATGTCATTTTAAGAGAGAGATAGACACGAAAAATGAAAATCATGGGAGAGAAAGTAAGTGATTTTTTTAATTTAAATTTTAAATAAAAAAATATTTTTTTGTGTCTATCTCTCTTTTAAAATCACATAATTTTATTTTTTTTAAATAAATGACATAATTTTATGTCATTTAAAATGACAAACACTTTTTTCTTCTTTTATTTTTATTTTTGCATTATTCATTATTGGGCAAGTTATTCTTACATAATGTAAGAATAAGAAATTGTATAAAGATTCAAAATATAACTTACACAAAATTAAAATGATACTCACCATTATTCTTATATATAACCCCCATTCAAATATGTAAATTTTTTTTCAATTTATTAAATATTAACATTCCTATAATAATGATAGGCTATAAAAAATTATATTTATTTGTGATAATCTTTTCTCCACTTGCTCTGTTGCTCATTGAATATCTGACACTAAGAGAGTGTGGCTCTTCCAATGATTACTTTCTTCATCTTCAAAACTCGAATTCAATTTCTTTTTTATTTTTTTATTTCTCAAGGTTGATTGAAACTTTGACTAGTAATAAAGTTGAATCCTGTGATTAAGGGAAACCGGCTCTTTAGCACTGGTTCCAATTACTTTTTTTCTTGATATGTAACAAACTAATTAGTATTAAATGTATATTTCAACTTCCCAAGTAGCCTTCCACCAGAGTCTCCTTTCTTCCCAGCAGTAGATATAATCTTTGAAGACAACATTTTCTGAACATACATCCACAGAAAGTTTAAGGCAGAGTTTATAGCCATGTTACCTTTGAACAATATTCAAGAACAAAGACCAGGCTATGATTGGGACCGAGGCCATAATAATTGAAATGTTAAACGATATGCAGTAAGATATCACACGTAAAATAATAACTGAAGATCCTCAAAGTATGTATACAACTAGACTCTTGAGAGGCTAGGATTAGAAAGACCAAGAGAAGACAAATGATCAAAATATGTACCTAAAATCTATGGCAGCATGTCAACAACCATAATCAGAGTGGAGAGCAACGAGAAGTTATCACCACATATCCATCAATCTTCTACCTTCTCTGAGTATCCACAGATGAGCAGCATACAAATTGTATCCAGTATGGTCTGCTCTTGGCTTTCTTCTTTTCTCTCTTGATGTCAGCAGGGTATCTTGCTGGGGAGTTCCATTCTTTTCCACCCTCTTCTTTCACAGTTTGAGCAGCAGGTGATTCAGGACCCGGAATGGAGTTAACAGTTCTCAATCCAGAATCATTATCTTCCGGTGCTTTACCATTTTTCTGATTCACTGAATTCTCTTCCAATTTTGTAGACTTTGGCTTGTTGCTATGGGAAGCTTCAGCCAATGCACTCTTTAGAGATGTGTGCTGCTTATTGTTGCTCCAGTTTGTTACCTTGGCTATTATTTCTTCATTCCTTTTTCTCCCTTGAGACTCATTAGTAACTTGAGTTAGAATGGGAAACCAACCAACCTGTGAAGTGGTAGAACTGGTATGTTGTTGGTTAAGTCCATTCCCAACTTCAGATGCAGTAGTATTTTGACCAACCACATGTCCAGGTTCAACCAATGTCATGAAAGATGGCGGTTCAAACATTTCTGGCTTTTCAAATTGCTGTCTCTCAGATGCAGCCTTTGGGTCCTTCAAGTTGGATTTCCCTGCATCTGTTGTTGCCAGCAAATCAGTTGATGGTAAACCTTCCGCATCAATATTAGCTTGTACATCAGATTGCATGGAGACCGCTGTTTGATAGAACATAAAAAGGTAAATCAAATGAATGTTATTTTAGCTTTTATACATTATACAAATAATGCAGAGGCAATAGATATTAGCTGACTTCATTATCTAGTCTAGCATATTGTAAAAGCCCAAACAGATAACTTATCTATAGTAGAGGGTGCATTCTACTATAAAACAATGAATCTATATACCTGAAACTGAAACTGAGCCCCAGTTTCCTTCCAAACTGTCACACCTGCTACTAGAGTCAACTGGTGTGTAAATTTCAGATGAAGCTAGTTTAAACTCGTTAGTACCACTTTGATCTTGAACAGGCACATCAGTAATTCCAGACGCTTCCCTGTCAGGCTCTTCATCTTGAGTATCTTCAACAACAGAAACGCATTCAGCAGAAGGCTTAATATTTAAAGAAGAAAGTGATGAACAGTTCCTACCAAGTTCTTCTGCAGCCTTCACTAATAGTTCTGCATCTTGTACTTGATGTGAATCAGAACAAGTACCAACAAATCTATTACATTCTTCATTTACTCTGTCATTGCTATTGATTTCATCATCTTTGATGTCTTCCTGAGCACTGCTAGCATATTTAGGCAATGAAGTATCTTTTACAGTGGGCCTTTCCGGAGATTGAGCATCAGTTTTATCACATTTTTCAATTTTATCCATTTCAACAGCATCATCACTCTTATATAAACCACTTGATGGCTTGACTTCCAAATGCAGGTTACTACTGGTTTGAAGAGTTTTCATGCTGATTCCAATATCATTTTCAATACTAGATCCTCTGCACTTGCCATCTACAGCTACATCATTTATTTCTTCAGAAAAGGGAACCATATAGCTCTCATTTATCTCGGTTTTCATAGCATTAATAGACGCTCCAATTTCATCTAATCTTTTATCACTTTCAACCATGAACTTGACGGAAGAAATTTCAATGCTCTCTTCAGCATGCATTTTTTCAGCCACAACCTCACAGTTGGCCTGCTCCTTCATGCTACCATGCAAAACCTGCACATCTGGAGAGAGGAGCTCTCTTTTTTCACTCAATTGGCTTTGGTTGATAAGAAAATTATTTTCTTCAGAAACAGAATCCTTTAAGTCATCTCGCTTTTGTTTCGATGCTTCGGATGAACGTAGGCTCAAAGAATTTTGTGATGACACTCCTTCATGATCTTTAAAATCTTCATACTCATTCTGAGGATGTGCTACATCAGGTCCAACATTACATGAAGAAAGTGTAAACATATCAACATTTCCTTCTCTCCATTCCTGTAACTTCTTGACATCACTAGTAGGAAACTGTCTCATATGTGCAGACTCTCCCTGAACGCCATTTGTGGAAGTGTCTGTGCTTGCAGTAGAATTTACTTCAAGAGGAAGATCATCTTGGGGAATCTCAGAAAGGAACTCAGCATTGTTCATTTCCTTCAGATTAAAAGCTCCACCAGCCACTTGACAATCTGAGTTAACCTCATCTCTAACTGCTATTTTAGGCCCTCCCTCGCATGTTTCAACTACAGTGTTATGGGAAGAGACCACAATCTCAACCATGTCTCTATCTGATTTAATCTCATCCTTTCCTTTCAAATTAGTCTCTTTTGCAACAGATGTCAAACTGCAATCCTTCACATTTTCTCCAGCATAGATCTTATTATCTAGCAACACATCAGATGTGGCTTCAGCTTTTCTGGGATTTGAGTCACTTGACAAAGCAAAGCAATCATCACTATGTGCAAAAGTCGATTCTTCAGTCCTTAAATTTGTAATGGAACTTGATAGTGGACCATCTTCAACCCTTTCACTTCGCAAAATATTAGGATCATGCATTTGACCATCATCTCTTGACTTGACAATTAACTGTTGACTCACATCTGCAGCTGTGAATCGTACTATCAGAACAGGATAGAGAAACTGAGAATAAACAAATCTTAGACTAAGAAATATAAAACATGAACACACAAAAAGAAAAATGGGTATTCAATTTAAAATAAAAATTCTAGGTATAAAATTCAATTTTTCAATTCCCCATATATTAGATACCTGTTTCACAATTATAAATGAAGTTCTTAAGTATACTAGTAGAAGTGGTTCAGTGTTTAAAAAAAAAATAAAACACTTATCCATTGTTGTAAAATAAACTGCTGATACATCAATTAAGTGCTTTATTTCATCAAATTTGCAACTTACCATTAAAATCATTGCCCTTAGAAGACCCTGAAAATTCTGGATATTTTATGTCGACCATTTCCACATTAGTAGCTGAATCCAAACTATCCATTAGAGGTTCCTTAATTCCTGGACTTATACAACCATCTGAAAAGTTTGGACCTGACACAACCAAACCCATAGAACATCATCAGATTGGCAAACCTATGTTGTTGTAATGCACTAACTCCAACACCCATAAAGACAAAAAGGAAATTAAAGAGAAAATATTTTTACAGTCAGAACTAATAATGTGAAATATATAGCATAATACAATCTTAAAAAGAAGAAGACAATCTTGCCTTGTGTTTTGCGATCCTCATCAGAAAGGTGTTCATCATCTGAAGCATCGGAACAGGTTTGGCTCTCTGAAACTAAAAGTTTGTAACCTTCAATGGTTCCACAAATCTTCTTGTGAGCACGCCTATGTTTGGCACTAGGGTGTGGATTCGGGAAAGGCCATCCACATTTGCGGCATTTACATACATGAACTCCATGACTCTCGTGTCCTGTAAAATCAAGAAAGCACCATAAAAACCTTCTCCTCGAAAAACTTAAAAGAAAATAATAATAATAATAATAATAATAATAACAAACCCCAGAAAGACAAGGACTTTTCCAGAAGAAAACCAAGAAAGTCATTAAATGAACAGAACCCAGAAAGAGAAACAATAACAAACTTCAATAAAATGAAATATAAAGAGAAAAGGAAGATAAAACCAATGACCCTTTTAAAAGAAACAGCACCTTGAGTTTGAGTTCTTCTTTGATCTTGGTTATCCATCCCCAAGAATATGGCAGTGAATGACGGAAAGAATACCCAACAACTAAACTGAAAACACGAGGCTAGAAAAAACAAAAATCTTATGGAAATGGAATATAAAATGGATAGAGAAGAAAAAGAACAAAGACTTGTTGGGAGAGGCAAGAATGAAGAGACACCAAAAGTTGTAAAGTAGTGAAAGTGGAACGAAACAGCGTGCAAGAAAACAAGGGGCCACACCCATGAAGACTTTGAAACACGCCGTTGTTGTCATTGCTCAATGCTCATTGCTCATTGCTCATTGCTCATTGCTCATTGCACTGCACATTCTCATCATACGTCAAACCCACATTGCAGTCCACTAAAGACTTTTCTTTTTCACATTTCCTTTTCATTATTTACGGGAAGGTTATACTCAGTCTTTTTTTTTTTTTTTAATTTGTTACTATTAAATCGTAATCGTTGATTTCTGTCAGTTTAACGGTTATAATTCATTGGAAATTAATAATTAATTAATAAGTATGACCAATAAATTATAATCATTAGATTGACAAAAATCAACGATCACGATTTAATAGTAAAAAAAATAGGTAATAACTATAAAAAAAAATATACGTTTGCCAATCCTTTTGTTAAGCTTCTCTTATGTTTGTGAGGGTACCGTCTTATACGCTTTTTTTATACGTCTAATTAACAAGCTCAATTTTTGTTTTATTTTATGTATCAACCCATATGGCCATATATATATATTGTTAGGTGTGGGTAGTTGTTGTTCCCAATAGTTGTTAATTATTAATTTTCCACATTTATTGAGTTGTTAATAACAGAAAACGACTATACCTCAAAATTGCTGCTAAGTTGGCAAATGGCATGCCACCTACAACAAATGAATTCTAAGGGTGTACGAGATGTAATTCTTTCGTGATTTAAACGTTACAATTTCATCATTAGCTTCAAAGTACTTCTAGTGAAAATTGAATTTATGTCTTCATCAACTCCAAGACCCACGTATACCTTGAATTACAATCCACTTAGCTATACCTTGGGTTAAGAATAGTGTTATTCAAAAATCGGTCCGCGATTGATCCGATGAACTGGTCAAGAACCCGCGGTTCAAACGGGGTATTAACCGGTGACCCAGTGGACCGATTTTATAGCTCAGACCGATTTTCGGAAAGAAATTTTCAATTTTGAATCTGCTGGGATTCGAACTCGAGTCTCGTGAGAATGTCCAACAACAACTTACCACTGGGTTGCGTTTGTTTATTTGTTAATATGCACCATTTAATATATATATATATATATTATCATTTAATAGAATTATTTCAAAATAGCATTTAGGGGGAATCGAACCCTTGTTATGAAGATATAAATTATAGTCTTTACCACTAAACTGCATTTAGTTCTTAATTCACTTACACCATTTAAAATATTTATTATATAATTGAGTATAAAAAATAAATTTTTAAATATATATATATATATATATATATATATATATCCGGTTCTACTGACCCGGTACCCCGACTGGATCGATCACCTGTCCGGATTTAATAACATTGGTTAAGAAGCTCATTTTTAGTGCTTCAACTACCATATATAATGTATTGACATTGGTAATAAATACACCGTTGTTAGTATATGTATATGTGTCTTTTTTCTCTCCTCTAATGACACTGAATCGATAATATAATATGCGTATATCTTTTATTTTTTAGCCTAGTGTTTTAAACCACTTGAACGTGTATTCTATTTGATAAAAACTTGCTATGGTTACACATCAGTTAGCTGCATAATTGTTCTTGTACGTAATTGGAAAAAGGAAATGGCAATAGGTGACGGTCACAACTTAAAAATGATGTGGTGAATCAAGATGGGGCCACAGGACCCTAGAAAAGTTGCTTGCTGTGGCCCTTGTGGATAGAATCATCTTTGATTGCGTGACCAATATAGTATATTTGAAATTGTTTTAGTTCAAGTTGTTAGTACCATTTACTACTACTTAGTTTAGTGAGTGCATTGGAGTAAGCGTGGGGCTGGAAGATATGTAACATCTATTATCGGAGTGCATCAAATGGTGGTATCTTTTAGTAAGAGAGTTAATTAAGGAAAATGTTTCGATTTGATTCCTATGTGTGATCTTTGAGAGAAGTCTCGTAATCGGTTCAAAAAGTCAAAATTTAAAGGATACAAGGAAAAACTAACTTGTCTTAAAGAGATAATTAAGTTAGATTTAACTTCAAAAAAAAAAATCTATTATCGAAGTGCTTGGATCCAAATGCTGCGCAATCACCAAAGTGGATTTTTCTTTATGTAAATTCAATACCTTCCCATATATGAATTTTAGGTTTTTCTCTTTCCCTATAAGCATTAAATAGGTGAGATTTTATCAAAATTTGTAAACATTTATGAAAAAATAAATAGACACAACACAATTCATATAATATTTGGAGCATGTTATATTTATGAACTTTTTTGTTTACAAACTCTTACAAACTACACTAAGTACGATCGGTCATAGTTTAATCATGCAGTGTACGATCAGTCGTACTTAGTATAATTTGCAAAAAAAATTTGTAAATGTATCCTATTCCTAAAATGAATGTGTTTACACTTGTTTTACTCCAAAATTAAGTTTGGCAGCAGAATTTTATTGGCGTTTGAGTATTTTATACTTAATTTAACATTAATATCAATTTGTTATAATATTTCTTTAAATAAAAATTTAAACATAAATTATTTTATTTTAAACTCACTTCTAATTAAAATTAATTTTGTTAAATCATGTAAAATTGGATTTCTAAATACTCCTTCAAACGCGTATTATAATCCAAGTCAATACTTGTATCCGTTGAATTGCATTCGAGGATCATTGCAGCTAATGACGTTCGAGAACGATATTTGGAAGATAGAATTTGAGCTTCGATAGTCAAGAACTTAGTGATTGAATTTAAATATGAAAAAAATATTTCTCATTTAAAAAAAAAATTATATTATTTTAAGAAAAAAATCACCGTGTTTTAGTGCATATTTATTGGTCTTTAATATTTTCTTTTCTCCACATCTCTACTCCTAATTTTGTAGAGGAGAAAAAATGTAAAAGACCAACAAATATATATCAAAATATGATTGTTTTACATAAAATGATACAAAATTATATTCTTTAAAATAAAATAAAAACATTTTTCTCTTTATATATATTAAGACGGAAAAAAACAAATATGCTTGCCAGACTATGAGGTACAAAAACGACACACGCACAAGATGGGGCAAGTTATTCTTGCCTGGAAAATTTCACAATAAATTTTTAATTAATAGTTCGCTAGCATCTAATATATAATAAATTTGAGCCATTAAATATAAATAAGATCAACGATCAAGATTTAGAGTATAACTTATATTGATAGAAAATGATCCTAACTCTGTATATTATACACTATTGAATTTAGGAATGACAATTTAGGTTAACAAATCGTGTTTGAATCGATACAAATACAATACGAATAATTATGAGTAATATTTTTCTTATGTTGCATAAAAAATGTATTATCTCCTACTTAAACAATAAATATGAAAGAGAAAAAAGTGGGAGGTGAGAAAAAAATTCTTGTAGGATCTATTTGAAAAATATGAATGTAGAAGATAATACTTCTCTTATGTAACATAAAAAAAGTATTTCCCAATAATTATTCGTGTCAAAATTATGAACACTAACACGACTCTTTACTATATAAGTCGACAAGATACAATACAAATAACTCTACAATTTTACTTTTCGCGTGAAGATTACTAAAATAACCTTAAATTAATAAATAAAGGAAGAGATAAATGAGAATAAATATATAACTATATAATTATATTTAATTTGAACGGATCGACACGAACATATGCTGTACTTGGATAAAAAAGTGTCTTCCCAGATTGAATTAGATTGCTTACATGACCCAATTTTTCACTCCCACAAGAAGACAAATTATCCACATGGTATAATATAGGAAAAAATTACTCTTATCTTATATGTGATAATTTTCTCTGCTACACATTCTGTGCACCTTTTTTTTTTTTTTTCAAATAGTGGAGTCCACAAATTTGTCTCTATGACATGAGATAACTTATCTCCTTTAACATGAGATTAATAAAACCCTATAATATGTCATCCTTCTCTCCAAATAACCTCCTTGCACTACAAAATGATTCCCCTTAAATTTTGGTTCACGCACTCATTTACATGCATAATTGTTTGGTTTTACTTTATACATTCCAAGAACCTTACACAACTAATTATATTAATCAATATAGATAATTTATCTACATTGAGCTTAAACCGATATCGTTTTGAGGCGAAAATCAATGTATTTTTGTAATTATAATTTATTTTA